ATGACAGGCTTACCTTTAGGTAATTTTTGTTTCTTGTTTTGTTTGGCACCGTGTCAAGAAGCTTGTCAATAGTGGAAGATGTTCTCATATCCAGCCAAACAATTGCGTTGTACAAAGGTTTCCCTGTGCCTTGTTCCCAAACTATAGTTGTTTCTCTTTGGTTTGTGACTCCAACTGCTATTATATCCTGGAGACATAGTACAACATAGGATTGCATTACAAAAATAAATTAATATTTAAGATCAAAACTTATCAGCAATGTCGATACCACAAATGTTAATATAATTAAAAATGTGTAATTGTATCAGTAACTGGTAACCATTTAATGTTTGACAAGCATGAGCCTGTCTGCACATTCGAAGTAGTTAAAATTTTACAAAAATATTTTCAAGTAAAAACAACAAACTTTACAAAGTCAATCTTTTGAAGGTCAAATGTTGAATACCTATCACGCAATAAAAGCATTACGATAGTGCATGCAATCATGCAATGTCAAACTATATTTTGAAAACAAACCTCTGGATTTCCCCCCAATGCCACCAAATTCTCCACTGCTTTTTCTATGCACGTTTTAACTACGGCCAATATTGCATACGGATCTTGCTCCACCCAACCTTCTTGAGGAAAATGCTGTTCTAACTCTTTTTGATGGTATGCAACCACATCGGAAGAATTAGCTTTGAATATAATAAACCGCGCACTAGATGTGCCTTCATCAATTGCCCCTACCAAAGGCCCAAATTTACCGAACTGGCTCATTTTTATTAAAAAATAAGTAAAGTCACAATAAAATTACATAAGTGTACTTTGAACATTTAATTTGCAAAACTCCTGCATTAATATCATAAAATTTATTACATACAGACTCGTACCTACTTCCCTATCCCCACTTCACTTCTATAATCAGCATCATCCAATCCCAAGATTCATCATTCAAATTAAAATTAATGAAGTTTCTGTTCATGACATTGACATTGACAATCAAAAAGGTACGAAAATAACAATGCCAATTACATTAGGTAGCACTTCTATGAATGTGAATTTGATACACTAAAAGTTTAATAAATAATCAGTTATTTTCTATGTCAATAAATAAATAAATACATCGAATATCTATAATTTTTAAACGAGAATTCATCCTTACTTTTATCGTTTCAGCGCCATCTTTCAAATTAAATATGAACTAAGTTCTACTATTTAGATATTCTTAGTTCCATTTGATTTCTATATTTCATCATAGGTGACGGATAGTACCTACCAAGTTTAATATTTTGAATTTTCATTGATATAATATCTCAACGACAATAAATGTTTATATTGCCTTTGTAGGCAGACCAGCATACGGCCCACCTGATGGTGAGTGGTTACAGTCACCCATGGACTTTAGCAATTCCAGGAGCAGACCCAAGCCGCTGCCTACCGTTAAGTACTCTCCACAAGCCTCGTTTGAAAAAGTATATGTCTTGATGATTATTCATATTGATTAAATTATTCAATAAAATGAATATGTTAGGTATGTACCTATGTTTAAGTACAAATTGAGTTTCGATTTTATTTTATTGCATAGACGGGTGTATGAGCTCACAACCTATTTGGTGTTGTCACCCAAGCTCATAGACAACAACAAGTAGTCAACAGTAGAACCAAACATTTAAATCGGAACGCATTACTGCTACACGATAGAATTATGCAGGATGCCGGTGCCTACTCCTACGGGCGTACCTACCTTCTTCTTCTTGTTCTTATCTCACAGTATGTGGGGTCGGCGCTGAATGTCCTGTTATCGTGTTGCCAAGCAATATGGCATGAGTTTTGCGATCGGCGAGCAATCTGGTATCAACCCTTATTTGCTTACAAGACGATCAACCTCCAGTAATTGCGCAAAATATATTATTTGCCAGTTTGATTTATATTGCCCGATGTTAATTCTATGTCGCGGATGTCATGCATAGCATTTGTTCACCCACACGTCATTACAAATTAGTGCGTGCCAGTGGCATTCGAATACAGGCTTATTCGTATCGCACGATACGAGTACCTATACCAGGCGTCTTATTTATTAGGGCACAACGTATTTGAGACTTAATAAAGGTACAGCACCTCTCAGTCGACGATGTCAATGGGTTCCGGTAACAACTTAACACGGATGGGTCACAAGCCTGTTCATCCTCTATACAAAAAAAACCCATGAAGATGAGACGGTAACGGTTGTGATTTCTTATTATTCAAAAGTCGAATTAATGATCGTGTTTTATTAATAATAAATAATTTTGTACAATAATCTTAATCAATATTTTTCATTAAGTTCTTGAGGTTAGCCGATGTTCATAATGGTGAGAACCTAAGATTAAAATCTTTTTCGTATTAACATCAACGTAATGTGTTAAAGTAGCAAAAAATGTTCAAATTATACATAAACATTAACTCCAGCGTTTTTCAAAATTCATCGTGAAAAACTTTTTTTTTTTCAGAAAAAGAACTAACAAGAAGGCTGTTAATATGTTTTGATTTTATCAGGCCACGTGAAACTAGCGAAATAAAAACAAAAACTTGAAGGATTTCAGAGTAATTTGTTCAAGAGTAGTTAGAGGGCACATTGACAAAGCATTATTATACCACGTTCTTACACTAATAAAGATTGGCCGCCTCTTCACAAGGGAACGCGCGATCCCGTTCGCTCTAGCTGTTGTTAAATAATAATAAAAAATGTCTTTGTAGGCAGACAAATGTTTCCCCCCGGCGAAGGTCATGGGGCAACCTGATGGGGTTGAGGCCTTCTAACGCGCCGCCGAGGAGTTCACTCATACTGTTATCATTGTGAAAAAACGGAACCGGTTGACGGTGTACCGCGTTCCGACCAGGGACACCAGTGGCACCATCTGAGTGGCCTAACGCGGTTTGCTCTCTGGTTGGAACTAGCCTGCCAGGTCAAGACGCGATACACCAGCAACTGGTTGCCTTTATGATAACAGTCCTGGTCGGCGTGTTTGAGTGTTGGTAGCACGCCGCGCGGATTAATCCCTCTCAGGTCACCTCGTGATCCCCACTGGGGGAGGCCACCGCCTACAGGGGCCTGGATGTACGCTTTGATCACTCCTCCATCCCCCGAATCGGTGCGGAGACGGAATAACTCTCTCTCGTTCCGCCACCTCCTTCGTCGAGCACCGCCGAGCATTGTAGCCACAACGGTCGTCAGCGACAGGTCCTCTCTCACGAGCGCAATAAGGTGGCGTGCTACTTCTGGAATTCAGATCCGGAAGATTCGGCCGTGAACGCCGTCAGGGCCTGGGGTCGCATTCTCAACATGGCCACACGGATCTCTGGCCAAGACCCTGCATGTTTGATTGTATTTAGCTTAGATGGGCGAATGAGATATTGAACTGCGTTGTACTCAGTGTTTACCAAAGACCACAGTTTAATCCGAGTGGATCGCGAAGAAGTATGCCAATTATCACCATTTAAAAAAAAACCTCAATATGATATAATTTTTCGGTAAATTTCTGTAATTAGTTAGTTGCGTTTATAACGTAAGAAGAAATTTTTTCAACAATTACGTAAGTTCGCAAGGCGCACTAAAAATTGAACGCCTATTAAAAAATCGTTGCTAATTTTTTTATCAGATTTCCATTACTTTTCTAGGAAAATATCTAACTGAACGTCGCTCAATTGGAATGATAGAGTGTGAAAAATAATAAACACGAGGTACATAATCAAAGGAATTTGCGGGATATATTTTCCGAGAACGGCGAAGTCAATTAATTAGCTTTGATAGGTCGGTGAAAATAATAAATTGCTTCCTGCAACGCACACACGCTGCAACATTAGCTTGAATAATATTAAATACAGAGTTGTGTTAATTAAATAGTTAATGAAATCTCGAAATTTAAAAGCTTACAAATGTGTTTAGACAATCTCAGGTTTGACAAAAGATGCCAGGCAAAGCCGATGTACTTTGCTTTGGAGTTCAGGAATACACAGTAAACATAAATTAAAAGCTCTATTGAATAGGCAACCATTACATATATGATTGAGGCTATGATTAGGAAGAGAGCAAGAGATCTTTTCTTCGAAGCAGAGCTCGTGGTCTGTTTGCATTTGTTTCCATACTCTGTTTGATTGGAATACTTTCAGTAGCATTGGAATAATAGTTACTATGATTCGTCACGCACATACGTGTTTCTACTGCGGAGCATTATATTTGTATTTAATCTCATACAACTTTTTTTAATATCGCTTAAAACGCACACCATAGGATAGAGCTAGTGGGGTAATTCTGGAAATAAAGTCTCACCCACTAAACGAAAATTTTTTGTTTAGTTTTCCTAAACAAATTTTTTTTTCCATTTTAGGCAGACGATCATACGACCCACCCGATGGTGAATGGTCACCATTGCTCATGGACATCAACAGTGCTAGAGGCACGGCCTGATGTCTGCCGAAATAAGGTCGTCGAAGCTTGAGGACAAGCTTCTAACCCTAGCTGTGCTAGGATGGCTCGATGATGTTCCTTCAATATGTGGCCAATAGCACACGTATGCTGTATTGTCATAGTCACCGGTGGTTGCCATCCGTTGACGGCTCCTACATACTTCCGAAAAGATCCAGCATATCTTACATACGTTTAAATAGTTACGTCATGGTTGAGATAGCGAGTGCAGTCATCAGAACGGGTTCAACCTTAATCATTTCGAAGAACATACTCTGAATTGGAATATATCTTTAGGATTTGGTTTATGTAACTATAAATTTGTCATACAATGACTAAAGGGATACAGAAACGGCCATGTTAAAATAAAATTACGTAACTTTCGTTCCATTTTGTTCTATTTGAAAACCATTCGGATTGATCATTAAGAGCAATCAGATGCCAAGTGACGCTGCAGACCTATAAGGTGCCTTAAGGTGGAGTAGTTAAGTCATAAAATTGAAATCGAAGCCGATGGATGCATCGGTGAGTCGAGCTCGTTACAGTAACCACATTGCGTCCATGTGTCGTGAACGCATTAGTCTGTTTTAATACATCAAAAGCAAAAAATACGAGAATATTGAATAGTGAATGTTATAAAGTTATTTGGAAACTGAAAGCTGTTAAAATCAATTGAAGTCTGGCTTATCATTTCTTAGCCTTGGAGGGCGCTGTTCAAAACGAGTACGTATGTATAAATTTATTAAATTTTGTCCATTGTAATAAAATAATGCGAGCAATACATTGCGTGCGAAATTTAAGATTTTAAATTTAGCGAATTCAATAACACCAATGATTTGTCAGTTATTTATTAGAGGAACACGTTCCTTTGTTATTCTTAAAAAATTAAAATTTAAGTTATAGAAATCCCTATGAAAAAAAAGACATACCGCTAAGGATAAATTAAATCTTAGTATTCAAATTTCGTCATAAAATGTAATCCTGATATGACATTAAACATTTAATCTTAATGATTTCGGAAAGCTAATTTCGTCATTAAGCATAACTCATTTAGTTTAAGTTTTAACAACGTTAGCTGATCCCATGTTCGACTATACTCTATATGTTTTGGAAGATGAATGCATTATTTTTTCAATGTTAATATATTAATATATTTATTATAAAATGTATTGAATGTGAATTTAAATAGTGAATAGACGATGGAACTTGAATTGATTCGCCCCTACCCCGCGACTTGTCCTCCGACCGCGTCCGACAATTTCGCTGTAGCGATCGACTTTTTTCAATTCATCAACTTGGAGCCGCCGCCTCCACTGCACAAAACTTCATCGCCGTTGTGCAAAAATACGCCGACGTATACGCGTCATTAAATACGTACGTCCTCCCCTCACTCCGCCGGTTATCAATGGCATACAACAGTAGAATGAGAGTCCTATCCGTAACGATAAGATTTTTTAACTGTGACGTGATCGTCGACAAATGAACGTGATCAGGTTTGTGATTTTTTGCGTGACCATCGAATTGACATCTTTTTAGTGCAGAAGACTGTACTTAAACCCGCGGGTCGCGACCCTAAAATCGCGAACTATAACATAGTTACGAACAAAAGCGTCACTGCTCGTAGTGGTGGTATCGTCATCCCGCTCGATCCCCCCGCGCTCGCCAACATCGAGGCATCAGTACATTTGCCGAATCGCACTGCGGGACACGCACAGATCATTATCGCGTGTTTATCTTCTACCTGATAAGATCATTTTAACCAGCAATATCGATGCGCTGCTCGGCATCGGAAGCTCTGTCATTCTGGCGGACGAGATGCCAGATGGTTTAATTTCTTAGAAGGACTCGCATTCTCCATACGGTCTTACTACCGCTTAGCTCGTACTCTCAAATCGGGTACAATAGTAACTATGCCCCTCACGCGTAGGCCACTCAGGCCGACTCGCGCCGTTTGATGATGACGAAAAAGAGCTGCTGGCCGATACATTGCAAGCCCAGTGCACGCCCAGCACTCAATCCGCGGATCCTGTTTATTTAGAATTAATAGACAGAGAGGTTGAACGCAGAGCCTCCTTACCACCCCCGGACGCGTTATCACCCGTCATACCGATGGAAGTTAAAGATTTGATCAAATATCTACGTCCTCGCAAAGCTCCAGGTTCCGACCGTATATCTAACAGTGTTATTAAACTTCTACCTGCCCAGCTCATCGTGACGCTAGCATCTATTTTCAATGCCGCTATGATGAATTGTATCTTTCCCGCGGTGTGGAAAGAAGCGGACGTTATCTGCATATATAAACCGGGTAAATCAAAAAATCATTGATAAACAATTCGTATTCGGCGCAAATCCGTGCCGCGTTTATTCTTGGCAGACCCTACCCCATGATCTGAAAGCGGAGTAAAATGTCGGAACAAGGTGACGCTTTACAAAGCTTGCATAATGCCCGTCATGACTTACGCGAGTGTGGTGTTCGCTCACGCGGCCCGCACACACATACCTATACACACCCTCAAATCCCTACAATCCCGCTTTTGCAGGTTATCTGTCGGAACTCCATGCTTCGTTAGGAACGTTTCCCTACACGATGACCTGGACCTCGAATCAATCCGGAAACACATGAAGTCAGCGTCAGAAATTGAAATAATCACTAAAAATAAAATTAGAAGACAAAATGACATTTATTTGAATTAATTTTATATAATATAATAATATATTGTACATGTCGGCGATAAGCGAGTATTTTCACACTTAAGATCCATTACAACAAAAATACAACACAATTTTATGACACGTTTCATAACGTGAACACTACTCTAAAAGCACTGCCTTAATTTTACATAGTCAGCCATTTTATTTGTTTTGATAGATAAATCAACTGCAACTTCTTTTATCAATACAATTGAATTGAATTACCTACTACGAAACGATTAATTAAGTGTAGCTTAATATTGAAAAGAAATATTTAAGTAAACTCTAACAATAACTCCCAAGTTATTTATTCTACATAAATTACTTTTTAATAAACAAACATTAACATTATTGGTGGGAACAAACTTAATTCAAAGATATTTATACCAGGGAGGGGAGTATCACCAAAGAGTGATCAGAAAGAGCGGCAGACCGAGGCTAGGTAATTTTGATATGAGTAGTAGACGTACGTACCTGCCAACTCGGCTTCTTGTAGGCTGCAGTGTCTTGGAAACGTGACTAGCGGACGACACTTAATGGCGGCGGTTAGCTTGACGGCTGGAGAGCTCTCCTCTAAATTAGTTGTTTTCACTAAAACAGGTATGACACTCGCGCAACGACGAGGATGATCGTCCGTAGTAGTTCGTAAGAAAAAATTAACACAAGTCCAAAATATTGAGACGTAAAAAGCGGCGGGTGCGCGTAAACGCGCGCGATGCGGTCGGCGAGAGTCTTTTCGAGTAACTGGTCATGCGATAGGTTCGATGACCGCTCGTGAGTTGACAAGTATTAGATCTACCCTCATAAAAAAAGAACCAATTATACATTCTGATAGATGGCGCCACCGTCATTATTTGCTACAACAACTACAATATTTTTTGAAAGTAATCATTAATTCATGTTAACAGGTTTTGTTATTAAAATTTATGCTTATTAATATTTGAGTATTTTGACAGCTGTATGAGTTTTTAAACAATAAATTAAGATTATTTTAAACGTTTTCGCATATTTTTTGCCTTCGTAATGCTAGCAAAGTCGAGGCGTCGAGGTGAAGCTTCACCGAACGTGTAAGCCAAACTCATAAGGCTCAGCCTGGGAGACTTTTCAGCATTTGCCCTAGCAAGACCAGTGCTACGCTGACTGTACCACTGGATGTAAATCGCGACCTACAAAGAAGATTCGGCGAGAAACTCAGTGGGCTGCGTCTGTGGGTTAATTTTCACGACAAATCCTTTGTCACATTCGATGGGCTCGACGATAACGGTAACGGGAGCTTGGAATACCTAAAATCACCGATAGTAGATCGGTAGGAACCGAATTGACGTGCTTACAGCGACGGTGAATGTTTACAGTTTGGTCGTCTGGATCGGGTATATACAGGTAGTTTCCGGCGGCCACGATTAGGGGGTTGCGGTGCCGCGCCGCTTTTCCGAAGAAACGTACGCTGTCTTCAGATTCTTAAGGATTGAATTAAGTTCTATGTCGTCTACATTCCTCACGTATCACGTTGCTCCGACAGCTATCCTGTAAAAATGGGATTAAATGACATGTAAGGTATTTATGAGAGTGCGGGCCGCGTGAGCGAACACTACGCTTGCATAAGTCATGAACGGACGAATGCAAGTTTTGTAGAGTTTCACCTTATTTCGAAGGGACAATATACTTAGCTTGTAAATCATCGGGCAAAGTCATCCGAGTAGGAACGAGGTTCGGTCGTGTACCTTCTTTATGTGGGGACGGGGAATGTTATCTCTTTGTCGAGGGTGATGCTTAGTCTTCAAGGCCCATGGTATGGGCTGGCCGAAGAAGGGGATGTGGCGAAAAATACTATCATGCTTAATACAGTGTAGAAATTCTAAGTAGATAGTATCGGGAGGGTGACCTCTTTTGAAGAGCACGGCGCTACTTTTTGTGGGGCTGATGTCGATGGGTCATTTTTGGAACTACTGTCCCATTTGACGACTTCCCTCTACACGAGTATTAAATTTCAGTATTATCGGCGAATAGAAGGTCTCCGGCGATCGGGCAATACCGTTAATATACAAACTTAATAATTAGGGGGACAGAGCGGAGCCTTGCGGGATTCTGGCTATTATTTAACGAGAGCTTCCTCTGCTCGTTACCGAAACGAACGGTTCGAGAAGAAGTCTCGTATGATGAGCACGACGCCATCTGACACGCTCATGTTATGTAGTTTGTAAATCAAACCGTTGTGCCAGACTTTATCGAAATCCTTCGTGAGATGGATGAAGAGGGTTCCTGTGAGGACGGGTCTGCGTTTATTAAGCTCTACTAAGATGTACTCCGTAAGGCGGTGCACTTGTTGGACGCACGAGTATCCGGCGCGGAATCCATGTTGCTTGTCGACTAGTGTGCCTTTTAAGGTGACAAAGTTCTAAAGGCGTTTAGGAAGGAGGAGTTCGCAAAATTTACCTATCGCTGGGAGTAAGTTAATCGGACTGTAGCTTGCGGGTTCGTTTTTTAGTTTACCCGGCTTATGTATGCCGATAACGTCCGCTTCTTTCCACGGCACGGGAAAGATGCAGTTTGCCACAACAGCATTTAATATAGGGGTTCAACATAACTATCAGTTGGTTTGGTAATTTTCTTAATAAGAGGTTACAGATACTGTCGGAGCAGGGGGCTTTCCGTGGCTGTAAGTTTGCTTACACAGCTTCGGTAGTGATAATGGGGGTGGTAACGCATCCAAGAGTGAGATTTAACATCCCGCTATAGACGACGCATCCGAATTCGGCTTGACTCCGTGGGACTCCCGGGGAACAGATAAGATGCTGTGGAAGCAATCCTCCGCATTGATTTCTCTGAATGGCCTTCCTATTGGGGAAGATAAATGGTTCGTCACGGTTGAATCCGAGTTACAGAAGTGGATTAGTGGGCGGCTTCGGCCAAGCTGGTGCTCAATTTATGTTTTCTCATCAAAACAGTGTCTACTAAATATTAAATATAATAAAATAACAGTTCATGTTACTAATGACAAATAAATATCAACATAAAATAAAATAAGCTAAGATCATGATTAATTATTTTCAATAATGGCGGTTAGCGCCCATTTATACGTTTAGAAAGAGAGTGAATATAACGAGCATCTTGGTGTATTGCAACAAGAAATAAATTTTATTCTGAACGAAAAAGTTAAGTTACCTCAGAGCTCTGAAGCGCCACTTAATTTCCATCAACTATCACTATAGCACTGTTCAAACTTTACCTTCAGCGCGGGGGAAACTGACTCTATTGATATAGTAGGAATTGTTTGAGTTAATCCCATCGTATCTTTTTTGACTATCGCACTACAGGCATCCGTGGTAGATTATAGCTCACAATAGAATCCTCCTCCTCGAATCGTGTTCCTCATGTCTGAGGGTCGTGACCACCATCACCCATGAGCTTCAATCTTAAGATGTTTTTCCACTTTCCCCTGTCCACGGCGTCATGCAGCGCGCTGTACACTGTACTGTCCAAAGTGGTGCGGATCTGATCGGACCAACAAGTCGGGCAGCGGCCTCTAGATCCGTTGCCTTTAACTTTCCCTGTGATCATAAGTTTTTCCACAATAGAATAGATGGAGTGAAATAAAACCATCTTCCCCACACTTTGTTGCTTGAGAGCGATGACATGTCTTATTACAAACACGATTTGCAAAAAGTCTTGAACGTTGATAAGCCTCTCCTATTATGTTATTGCTGTCAGACAGTGACCCAATAATCCCCAAGAAAGACATAAAACTTACTACTATTAACAATAATTTTATTGTAGGAGTCATGATATGGACTTAAATAGCAACGGTATTGCTTAGCGTTTCTTCCACTTATCAAACAGAAAATCATGGCTGTTTCCCACTGAAAATAGGCTAAATGGTAACGTTTAATATGCAAAATCATAACTATCTATGTATTAATAAACAATAATCGAAATCAATCAACTGTTTTTAGTAAAATGAACTTTTTGAATCAAATGATAATACTAGTAAACTGCAACCAAAGTTAGTACAAAAGTAAAAAATCCAATTTATTGTAAATACAGTTGTAATTATATTTCTGATATTTTTATCGTTCATCTAGTAATTAAAATTTTAAAAATAATAACAAAAACATCGTAAAAAGCGTAATAACAAGACATACCTAATAAACATATCATATCATAATAACAATAATCTAGCGCATTTATATGTACTAGCGGCCCGCTCCGGCTCCGCTCGGGTCTTTAACAATAAATTTCAACGATATTTGAAGTTGTTTTATTTTTAAAAATAAAAGAATACTCATTACGACAACCATAGTAGTTAGACATATCCTGTCGCAACACTTTTTGCAAATAATAATGTGTTCTACAAAGTCGTAGTACGTTATTTTATTCTGTCATCAATCGTTTTCGCAGGGCACGCAATATAAAGAATATTTTAGCTAATTTTTTACACCTTGGGTTACATTATTGGAGTTTTAGTAAAGAATCCAATTTTTTTTTTTAAATTATTGCCTATGTCTCTCGGGAATAGTGTAGCTTCCAAACAGTGACAGAATTTTTCAAATCGGTTCAGTAGTTTCGGAGCCTATTCAATACAAACAAACAAATCTTTCCTCTTTATAATATTAAGTATAGAAAAAGAAAAACAAAAGGTCGCATGACGGAAAAACATTAATAAACATGAAACGAGGACTTAAAAGATCGCATATTAATTGTTTTTTTTTGCATTTGAATTTAAGTTTTGTCTCGATTAACTCATATCGTTTGTTACAGTTGTTCATCTACATTTCTGAAGACACAACTATTGACGATTGCTTTTCGCAATGCTGCCAGTGCTTGTTTGCATAATAGTTATCGTATTAATCTGTTGTAATGTCATCAGAAGTGTAATCAAACCCGAGAAATTTCCTCCAGGTTTGTAAATTTACTTTCATCATAGTAGTAAAAAAAGGAAATAAGTTGCGGATGGATATGCTCTAATTGTAGGAGCGCTTGTTTAAAGGCTCAGTTTTTAAAATTCTCTTACTGCTTTGATGTTTATTCATAATTTTGACAAACTAACAAATCATTAAAAATTATAGTCGTGTTATAGTATTCCATACTACTAAGGCTGTCTTTCTAATCATTAAAAGAATAAGCAGTAGCAAATACATTATAATGCACACTCTGGCCACTAATACTGTTAAAATAAAAAACAAAATTTTTAAATTTAAATTAGGAACCTGTCATTCGCTTAGTAAAATGTGAATTCATCGCGATAGTATTTTATCTGATATTAAAATGGAGTAAACCGAAATGCTGAGATAGCATTTCAGAAAATAGATACCGAGCTAAAAGTATTTTTTAAGCCCTCTATCCGCTTGGTATTACGGAGTCGTTTTTGTACTGAGCTATTTATTAATAGGGAAAGATCAAATGCTTACCAAATTTTCTACTGAGCCTGTAATGCCGAGGACCATAGATATGAATTGAAACAAATAAAAATATAAAAGCTTTAATTGAAATTAAATATTGAGTACCTATTCAGGCTTCGCTATTTCATTAGTTCTAGTACCAGGTTTTCAAGTGGAAATACTCCTGTCGAAGCTCTCTGGTGTCACTAATAAATGAAAAGTTTACGCTCAATTCCATATTAAGTGTCGCTCGTTCAACGGGCTCGGCTTTGAAATGTTCTTGAACGAGGAATAAATTTCTTAAATTTTTGCTTTATAATGGACATATGGACTTAGGAATGTCTGATTATTAGTGATTACTGGAGATCAAGGACGTAAAAACGTCGATGCCGTCGCGCTCTTATCGTGTTATTTTTTTTTTGTTGCTTAGGTGGGTGGACGCGTTCACAGCCCACCTGGTGTTAAGTGGTTACTGAAGCCCATAGACATCTGCAACGTAAATGAGCCACCCACCTTGAGATATAAGTTCTAAGGTCTCAGTATAGTTACAACGGCTGCCCCACCCTTCAAATCGAAACGCATTACTGCTTCACGGCGGAATTAGGCAGGGCGGTGGTACCTACCCGTGCGGACTCACAAGAGGTCCTACCACTAGTAATTAAGCAAATTATAATTCTGCGGGTTTGATTTTTATTACACGATGTTATTCCTTCACCGTGGAAGTCAATCGTGAACTTTTGTTATGTACGTATTTCATTAGAAAAATTGGTACCCGCCTGCGGGATTCGAACACCGGTGCATCGCTGGATACGTATGCACCGGACGTCTTATCTTTTAGGCCACGACGACTTCAGAGTTAAATAATAATATTTATATTTATGTTATGTTCAATATTTATATGTGTCCTCTTATATGGAAACGCACAAATGTATCGCGACGGCAATTACTGTAACCATTCTTGACTAGGCAAATTAGGCTAAGCAATAACTGAACGTATTATCTATTTAGAAGTCCTAGTTTAACTCTAATATCAGTTTAACATATATTACTTATATCAGTAGCAGATGTACTTAGCAGTTGAAAAATCCGTGAAATTGATTGACGTTCTTGATTTTCAATTACTGATATTGTAATTACTAGAGGTCCCGCAGTAGTCGAAATTCGACTATAATTAATTGAAATTGTATGTTTGTACACTATTATGATTGTATTTTATACTTCTATAATCACAAACTTCGCCAAGGCTACACTATAAAAAAATATTAATAAAGACAAACAATATTTAATCTATTCTCAATTTGACCACAGACGTCAAGAACAAAAGTTTGACAATAAATAGTATGCATGCGTGTGTGCGTCAAATACATGGTATGTAGTGTGTGTAATGTTTTCTTTATTGATTTAATGTATCTTATATGCCTAATTTAAAAAAAAATTAGCATTGTGCACTTCTTCTCTATATTCTCTATAAATGTGGAAAATTTCATACTCCTCCGTCCGCGCAATTTTCGTAAAAAGGGATACAAAGTTTTTGCTTCACGTATTAATATTAATATATAGGTATACTTTTATTCAGTTGAGTTTCATTCAGGCTAATAAGAAAGGCTTGTATATATAAAGTATTGTTGTGATAGTCCTAGAGTACCCCGCTGGTACATAAGGCCCTCACAAGTTGTCTCCAAAATTCAATGTCAAAAAATGTTCGCGCCAAATGACGTTGTTAAAGGGTTCCTTTCGGTTATAGATCAAATAGTTATTTCATATAAAATGTTAATTAACGGTATATATCTATTTATTGTATGTATATTATATTTTCTATAATAATGTATTGTTAATGCTGCACCGCTACATACCAACTATATTTTCCAGAATTTCTCTAAATTAAACGGTTGCCTGAAAGAAATCGTTTTTAGCGATAAAACCGCCTAATGTACAAATCTATTTGACTGTTTTTTAATGTGAATTGTTTTTTGGTGTGCATTAAAGTGTATTCTCTCTCTCTCTCTCTCTCTCTCTCTCTCTCTCTTTCTTGTTTTGGGTTTCACAAATTACTTAAATTGAAGGACATGCAGGTCTTTAGCCCACAGAGTCCCGATCACGACGATGGGGATGCCATTGTTGTGTCGGTGCCCACAGATCCAGACTTTCTGAACCAATGGTTCATGGCTCCTGGTAGCCTTACCGCGCGGATTAGCTCACTGTGTTTTCACGGTCAATACTCACTGGACTAACCCTCCTCCTTTTGCATCCGGGCTTGGGACCGGCAATAGCGGAGTTTTATATGTGTTGTACAAAGTATTATTCTATATTAATGTTGTTAATGTTGGTGATTGTTAAGAGTTCAAGATTATTTAGACTTTAAACAATTATCTGTACACAAATTAATTGCTGAAGTCAAGTGGACTAATTAAGAATGGTAGGTATACCTAGAGCCTAAAAATATCATTAATTTTATTTCAAAACAGTACACTTTTAAATATTTATAGAAACTAGTTTTATGTTGATGTCGATCAAATTTAAATATGAATTTACGTCAGTGTCTGAACACTTGCGCAATTCTGAATTTGTTATGCGTACTTAATTCGTAGTAGTATTTTTTTTTAAATTATAATCATTCAATATTTATGAGACTGAAGTCATTAAAATTGTTTTGTGTATTATTTACTACTACAATGTACTGTTTAAGCGCAAAATAACTATCTAACTAGTGCTTAGTAATTGTGATTGCTGTAATGGTAAAATGTTAACGAGGTAATATTCAATTTTGCTATTAAACGAAATACACTTATACGTTTTTTTTTTTTTTTTCTTAGATGGGTGGACGAGCTCAAAGCCCACCTGGTGTTAAGTGGTTACTGGAGCCCATAGACATCTACAATGTAAATGCCCCACCCACCTTGAGATATAAGTTCTAAGGTTTCAAGTATAGTTACAACGGCTGTCCTACCCTTCAAACCGAAACGCATTACTGCTTCACGGCAGAAATAGGCAGGGTGGTGGTACCTACCCGCGCGGACTCTCAAGAGGTCCTACCACCAGTAATTACACAAATTATAATTTTGCGGGTTTGATTTTTATTACACGATGTTATTCCTTCATCGTGGAAGTCAATCGTGAACATTTGTTGAGTACGTATTTCATTAGAAACATTGGTACCCGCCTGCGGGATTCGAACACCGGTGCATCGCTTCAACACGAATGCACCGGACGTCTTATCTTTTAGGCCACGACGACTTCAAGTTGAACTGTAAATGCATTTGAACATTTTAGGTCCGATATGGTATCCATTTTTTGGCAGCAGCTCAATTGTTCAACAAATGACAAGCAAACACGGGTCGCAGTGGAAAGCGTTACTGGAACTTTCGAAACAGTGGTCCACTCAGGTTCTCGGCTTAAAACTAGGAAGAGAATTAGTGGTCGTCGTCTACGGGGAGAAGAATGTTCGTCAAGTGTTCTCGGAATCCGAGTTCGACGGTCGACCGAACTCTTTCTTCTATAAGTTGAGATGTCTCGGAAAACGACTCGGTGAGTAATTAGTTGGATTTTAGAAAATCATTCTATGATAAACACGCTTGCATCTTGTATTGTGAACTAGGTTAAACTTCGTTTCCCCGAATTGTTTGACGCGGAAATAAATAGTACGATATTCTGATAACATTGTCTTTTTTCGTATGAAAGACATCTTGCTTTGCGATGTGGAGGTATTAATCGGTAAGAAAATAATTTTCCATGGGTTCTAATTTTTACAAAACATCTGATCTGCGATGGGTTGGACTAGAGCAGGGATTCTCAAAGTACTTTGGGTAAAATATCCCTTTTCCAAAATAAACCTAAGTACTCCATAGCCAAATTACTTTAAGATCTTATGTCTAATCCTTTTTCCTGAAACAAAATACTTACTAATTTAAAAAGATTGCGGTTTGTTAAGTTATCGTGGGTCTGATTCCTAAAAGTAAGAAACACAAAAGGAATGAATAAATAGACATTATAATATATGTCATATTTAGATCATATTTAAGTCATATTGAGGTCATAATGAGATCATAGTGAGGTCTTAGTGAAGTCACAGTGAGGTCATAGTAGGGTCATAGCAGGGTCATAGTGAGGTCATAGTGAGGTTATAGTGAGGTCATATTGAGGTCACATTGAAGTAATATTTAGTTCATTTTAGTGCGGTACTATTTTGCTAAAATGAGTAGGACTGAAAAATAATTTGGCTTATACGTTTTGTCAAGGACAACAAGAAATCGCAAGTCAACATAATTGCGAAGGCTTAATAAGGATTTCCTAGGTTGTGGATACACAGACTGAGATGACAACAAATCGCTATATAATAGTCCATTAGCAGTTTGAATATTCGTCCATAGATCAGTCTCCTTAGTTTCTAAGTGGGTAGCGATTGCGATCCGGTAGTAGCTCCATTCGCCAAGCAACTGCCTTTGAGTTGCTAGGTCTTCTTCGGGGACGTTCGAGCAGATGTTAGTAAATTTCACCCCTCCTACCCGTGCTTGCCTTACCCATCCACTTGTCCCGGTGAAACTGGCAAGGAGTCCGGGCCACCAGTAATACTTACAAAAAAGTTTGAATATCATATAGTCATTACATACTTGGCATATACATTGAAATATTTAACAGCTTTAGCATTTTTCTGATGTACTTACTGTAGGTAAGTACTGATACCTAAAATAAAATTAGAAATTTCGAGAAACGTACAAGGTACGAAAGGGTGATATACGTGAATTTTTGAATAACCAATATTTTCTGTTTGAGCTGTAACAATGTTGCTCCTTGGCAAGAGTTTTGCTGATTTTCCGTCTAAATTTCGATAGCCTGAGGTTACAGTTGCGGGCATCGGAATAGTTACAGCATACCACAAAGCACAGTTTCCTCTAATGAAGATTGTTGGTTCAGTCTCTACCTTTCTTTGTTGTAAGGTCCTAAACTATAAAACCTACTTTATCTGCATCATTGATTCTTAAAGTATGTATTTGTTTTCGTATTGATATATTATTATTTATTGTAATTTACAGAGTATAAATTAAATTTAAGATGCTAAAACACTTTTATTATATTCAACAGACTGAGGTCACAAATATAGCGAAATCTATTAAAAATAGGTATACATAAATGTGTTGCTTTGTTTGAAACTATTGCAAATATCGCGTTTAATACTATGCTGTTTTTAATTTTAATTATATTGAATGATATTTAATAAAAGTGAGATATCTAAAAAAAGTTTGATGTTTTTTATGGAAAATATATTTTATAATCATTAAAACCTTATATTTATAGCTTACCCTAAACCTCGCCTTACCTTAAACTTTGTAATATACATATTAAAGGTAACATTTTTAATTTTGTGGTAATACTATTTCAACATTTCAGGCGTCACCTTTGTTGATGGTCCTCTTTGGCGAGAACACAGACAGTTCACTGTAAAACATTTAAAGAATGTTGGTTTTGGTAAGACATCGATGGAGCTGGAAATCCAAAACGAATTGAAGTTGTTACGTGAATACATAAATGATAATAAACATAAGCCAATAAAAGTTGATAGTATGTTTTCATCGGCCGTAATGAATGTTTTATGGAAGTATGTAGCAGGTACGTAAAGGCTGGCTCCGGCTTCTGGCTCATTATAGTTCGTTGTAAGCGAAAACCACAATTTTATCTTTGCATTGTCTGCGCTAAAACTTTGATTACTTTACCATGGAAAAGAACCAGCTTCTTTGAATTCTGATTCACAATCGACGAGCGATCGAATTCGCCTCTAACGACATAATTCTCATCATTTGTTACAGTCCGTGGGTCTTTGTGTTGTGAATAGCAAAATTTTAAGACTACCTTGTCATTTTCGCAAAATAAAGTGATGATTCTAAATACGTATGCCTCTTTTTAAATAATGCTTGGTAGATTGGCAACAATTATTTGGTGTAAAATTTAATAATACTAAATGCTTGCTGTAAAAATATAATAATTATATTTATTTGTTCCATTGTAACAAAGAAAACTACTTAAATGTTCTAACATATATACATGCGTACATATAGATATATGGGTATAGAATAACATCGCTGTGCAAAATCTTATAGGAATAATTTGCCTATATAAATACGAATAAGTACCGGTAGTGATAAGTATTCTCTTCGCATAGATGTGTACCACTAACTGGTTTCGATTGCGAAATTAGTGCCATGATAGTGATTATGACAATAATGTTGAGACGTGGATCTATTGTCCAAGATATTCAATGGGTTCCGGTAACCAATTAATACCTCGACGGTAAAATCCGTCTGCTGATTTACAGTAATACATGAACTATAAATATTGAACGAAACGATTTAGTATTGTGAGATGAGATGTAACTAGAGTCTCAATCTTTTATTAGATTCAGTTAATCTTACAGTCTGAAAATGATAGATAAGTAAGTGTGTTTCTCTACGTTCTTAAAACCGTACGTCTGAGATCGTGTAAGGAAATTAGAATTTAGATAGGTATAAAAGATACGCGGATTTTAGTCCAATTAATTACATCAATGAAAGCGTAACAACGTTTTCATTTTTAAAAAAAGAAAATTAAACTATTATTGTATGGTAATGAGATTGCAAAAGTTTGTCAGTTAGACGATAGTTTAGAGGTTTCTGAAGTATTTACATAAATTACAACGTTTTTATGAAACAACACAAGGAAATAACATCATGTAATTAAAGTTGATTTCAAAGAATTCGAATCATGAACGTGCTACGCTTGTAAATCTTGAATGTCAACACAAATTTCCTAAATTACCTGACAAGCTAATTAGCGAACTTCTATGTCGAGTTCTCATGCTAAGACACGAGTTTGAAATTGAAATCGCAGTTTTGTGAGAATTCCATCACACTGTGAGGAATTCTCGGAACCACCGGTGCGTCATTTAATCCACAACTTGATACTTAATTATGACAAGCAAGTAATAAGATGACATAATAATGTAATGTTAATTTTGTGATTCTGGTTTATGTGTGGACATTTTGAATGGTTACTGGTTGGATAAAAATGTCGCACAGAGACAGTTTATATACTGAAATTTTTTACTGCTTCTTTCGCCATTCATAGGCAGAATGCTGGTACCTACCCGCAGAGCTCCTTACGTCACATCAGTATTTAATAGATATACATATTTTATACCGAGCTTGGCTAGGTTTTTTTGTTGATAAATTGTGTTTTTTAGAAATTATATTAAAATACGAATTACATATTGATATTATATTATTTGTTACTTTCTTTCAATAAAAAAAAATTTATTATTAAGTTGATTATCGATAAGGTTGATTATTGAAAACACAAATAAAACAACATTTTCTGAAAATAAATCGTAGCTAGATCGATTTATCGCCCCCGAAATCTCCTGTATACTAAATTTTATGAAAATTGTTGGAGCCGTTTCCAAGATTCAGATTATATATATTTATACAAGAATTGCTCGTTTAAAGATATAAGATAAGATAATATATTAAATGTTGATCCTTAACGAAAGTTCGACATTTATGGTCTTGAAGAGGAGCATCCAACTCCTGAATTAATTTGATTATGATTACTTTCCAGGCGAGAGAATCAGAGAAGACAAATTAGAACGTTTACTTGAACTATTCTATTTGAGATCGAAGGCGTTCACTTTGACTGGTGGCTTGCTAAGCCAAATACCTTGGTGCAGGTTCATTATACCCGGCCTAAGTGGGTACAAACTAATAGTTGACTTGAACCAGCAGATATCTGAAATTATTGAGGTGAGAGACTATCGATTTCACGTTCACAAAGATTCTAAGTCGAATTCCGGTAAGTTTATTTCACGGAATGTAATTATAAAGAATTTCTATAGACTCTTTAATCACATTTTGACTTTTTCGAAGCGACTCGATGAGATTAACGAATATGTACAGTAAAGCATAAACAAAATAGTTATTGTTAAAAAAAAAACGAATTAATATTTTTTTTATAATTTCAGGAAGCCATAAAAAAGCATTTAAACAAAGAAGTGCAACAGAACGATTTTATATATTCGTTCTTAGATGAAATGAACGAAGAGAACAAGGCATCATTTACGTGTAAGTTTTTTTTTTAATTGTAATAACTAATGTTCAACCTATAATCGAAATTCGACCCTTATCACCGACACCTCAACTCATTTCATTCAATCATTTTAATGAGAATAATTCTTTTCAGTAAAAATTACATTATCAGCAATAAGGTTAATAATTACTTAGAAAAAATAAACAATAGTTTAAAAAAACTAACCAAATACGCTTTTATAGAAAATCCAACTAAAAAATAGAAAATAAATTTTAATAAAATTGAATTAAAAATAGTGTAAGAAAAAATGATTTTATTGTAAAAAAAGCATGGGGTGCATGGTATCCGTAGTTATAAATATTTTGTGAACAGATATGAAGTAGAAGGGTTATTTTGATAATATCCTGAAAAGCACCCCACGCTTTTTTACAATAAAATCATTTTTTCTTACACTATTTTTAACTCCGTTTTATTAAAATTTATTTTCTATTTTTTTGTTGGATTTTCTATAAAAGCGTTTGGTTAGTTTTTTTAAAGTATTTGATTTTTTTCATTTTTTAGTTGAATATCAATTTTTTCAATTTTTTTTTTCATTTTTGTTTTTAATATTGTATTGTCATCAGTTCTTAATAAGTGTACCAAATTTCGAGTTAATCCGACGTTTTGAAGGGGGTCAAAATCATGTGTAAAGATTCCGTTACAAACATACATACGTCTGAAGCTAATAAAAGCGTATCAATAGTCGTTTTGACATACAGACGAGAAACTGGTAATCCTTAGCTATTTTGTCAGTCCTTATTTAACATATATGGATGGACATATACACTGAAATAAGTATTTAATTAAAATCAATGATTTACGTTTTTTTTTTAATAATTATCCAGAGTCCTTTGAATTGCTAAACAGAATTAATTTTTTTAAATGGTTTTACAGACGATCAGCTGAAAACCGTGTGCCTTGATCTAATAATAGCCGGATCCCAAACAACAGGGAACGCTGTTAAGTTTGCTCTTCTATCAGTTTTGCGAAACAAAAACATTCAAGAAAAAATCTTCAACGAAATAGAAAACACCATTGGCGATTCTATGCCTTGCTGGGCTGACAGTAGCAAGTATGAAAACATTTTTTTTTAAGTCGATGGTTCACGAGTCTCTAACGTAATTGAGGACAACTGATAAGTACTTATATTCGATAATAATATAAATGGGACTAGTCGTAGCTTCATAGATAAGGAAGACACCCGGTGCATTCGTGGATCGTTTTCAAATTTGGGGCCAAATGCGAGTTATTTGATTTAATTCTCATAACCTTAATATTACCGTAATTTTAAGTACAGTAAATTTGTTGTTATAACAACAGGCACGTGGTCCTATTACTATATATTCGTAAACAAATTCAAATTGTAACTTGTTTGCCATTTTTCCAGTAATCCGTGTTCAAATTCAGTAATTTTATTTAATCAGTATATAAAACAATAATAAAGGAAAACTAACTGGATATTAGAACATTATTAACAACAAAAGAAGTACGATTTATAAACTTTAAAAAAAGTTTCTATTTAAATTGTCATCCGTGTTGCCGTTATCAAATGCGTAAAATTAAAAATATTAATTAATATTGTATAATATTATCAATAAATGAGTGATTGGCTTGATTGTGATGAAGCATTTTTTATTCAGAACACGCCTAAATACAAAATAATGGAAATTTGAGAAAGTTTAAATTCATGAAAGCATTACTTTAAAGGACCCTCGTATTGAGCGATGCGTCTGTGCCTCAAAATTTTCAGGTACTAATTTTTCGAATAAAATACATAATATGTATTTAACAAATGTTCAGAAATTACTTCCACTGTGAAGGAATAACATGATGGATTATGGGACGCTCCGTGTGGAATATCCCCCTGATTGGCGGCTATTCATAAGTAGCTTTATTAAGTCCCTGTCGCTGTTGTTAGTGCTACATATGGTTCAGTCTATCTTTTAGTTCAGTCCGACTTTACTACAAATATATCTAGGTATCTCAGCGGTACAGGTATTGTTTGATGCTTCCAGTGCTTCTCCTACGAAGGCTTTCATATGGTCACCACAGAATTTCCCAAGGCTATTTCGGTACCTACCTAGTTGTCGGGATATTGATACTATAGATTTCTTAAGAGGGAAAGGTTGATTTTATTTTATTCTTCATATTATTTTCCCTGTTCAAACTACAAAGAATCAATCAATCTTACCCGAATGTATTAAGCATGTTTCTCTAACTGTTAAAAATGTATTTACTTAACAACAATTGGCCGTGAAATATTTCACGTATTTAAGCAATGAAAATAAAAAAAAAAATATCTTCAAGACCCGATACAATATACGATGATAAATATTTTATTATAAACCATCTCCCGCGAACTAAGACAGAATTATAAGCATTTGAGTACATTACTTTGATCTGTCTTTCATCTGTCCAATAATTTTACACGTAAGACGTATGTACATTTGGATATTCTCCGAAACAAATTTAACGTTGTTTCTGAGAAAAAAAGTACAGGGTGGTAGACAAGCTGTAGGTGGCACTTATTTGGCACTCAGACATACTAATATCCACTCAGACTTTCATATTGGACTTGATGTTGTTTATAACATCAAAGCTAAAAAACAAATTAAAAAAATATGAGAAAAATTAAGTGATAAGTTATTCTTTTACTGGTTGTTGAACATTGAGTGAACTCGGAATGTTTTTATCACGAAAACGTCTTTTTCAAATGTAAAGTATGTCCTTTATTGACACTTATTTTTATTAGTTTCGCCTGTACATCATTATCTTCAATGCAACGGAATCATTAAAGGTACTTTTTACATACTTTAAGGCGTCCAAATAAGTTGCTCATATTCGCACGTTTCAAGCTCCGCGTCGCAATTTATATTTTATCTATTACTTTTATGTTTTAATATTGGCTACGATCGTTACAATAATAAATAATAACTTAAACGTCACAAGTTAGGCATATACAATACATAGAACAACGTTAAATATAATATTACTCTAACCACTACTCAAACAATTATAGACACGAAATATGATTATATAAAATGAAAAAGGTGCTTATTACTGTAACGGTTTCTAGCAAATATCATTGAAATATAATTTTAAAGTACTCTTTTACTTACAGACTCGTATATACATCGGCATTTCTGCTGGAAGTAATGAGAATTCACACAATAGCGCCCCTGGCTGGTCCTCGAAGAGTTTTACAGGACACAGTCATCGACGGCTACGTTATACCTAAAGAGACGACGGTTCTGATATCCTTGGCCGATATTCACTTGGATCCGAATCTGTGGCCGGATCCTCACGAAATAAAGCCGGAGAGGTTTATCGACGAAAAAGGATTATCGAAAAGTAATGAACACATCTATCCTTTTGGATCAGGTAAGTTACAAAACCTATACGTTTTTCTTAAAAGCCTTTGTGTATTTTTTTTTGACCCAATCAATGTAATGTTTTATTTATTTATTTTTATAGCGTTAGTGCGAAGTTGCTTTCAATTATCTAATCATTTTATTAAACATATTTCAAAACAAACGCTTTGTGATCGATAGAAAATGGTAATTAGTGTTATTTACATATGTACCCAAATATGTACTTTGAAAAGTTCTTCATAATTACGCGTTGTGAAAACCTAACGTTTGCATTGACATACAAGTAAGTCTGTCACAAAAAAGGTTAGTTCATATTGCTGGTGGCTTGAATTCAGATTTTTTTTAAGGAGAATAAATCATAATAACTATTATGACGGTTTCCAATTATCAAATTCTAAGATAAGCTTATAATAATTATTATAAGTATGCCAGTGGTTAGTTCAAATTACTCAAACCCGTTATTTAAGACAAAGGATCCATCTAGGATCTGTTTTAGTAACAGTTCATTTGTTAATAAGTGTGAATATCGCTACCAATTCTCAACTTTAATTCTATAATGGCTGTGCCGACCAACTCTGTTGTGTAAAATTAAAAAAATATAAAATATAAATATTGTTTTTTATGTTTTCCTTAAGAACTAACCAACAAATTTTATTTAGTTACAGGAAATTTAAAAATGAAAACATAAAAAGTCCATAAAACACCAATGTTTTTTTAAATAAATAATTTCTTAAACAGTTGGATTTATTTAGGTAGTAATAAATTCCAAAATTAAAAGAGGTGTGACAATTTCTTCTTTTACGTACTGACCCTTCAGTAATTGATATTCTATGATATGATTCTATGATATTCAACAGATACCTTTATTAATTTATTCCTAAAAAAACTTGGAATTTAATTAATATATTTATTTTATATTATACTATTATTAAACTATAATACTTATTTAGCAACTCTAATTGCTTATAGAGTATTTTAATTGAATTAATTTGTCATAAAACGAGCAGTCCGTAAAATTATCTCTTCTTCTAGTTAGAGTATCGCATGGCTGCCCGTACCTACATAGGATTTGAATTACGACAACAATGTTGAATTTATATGTGACATGAGTTGAAATGTACTAAAATTTGATTGTAAAGTATCTATTTTAAAGGACGAGAAGGAATGGTATTTGAATTTTCAATTTTATTGCAAGCACAGGAAGCCATCTCGACAATGCAGCTATCCCGGTCGCTGACGTAATTTCTGAGCTCGGTTTATTGTTTGGTACCGTTGGAGAAATCCACTTAGTCCGATCAAGTGACATTCTGCAGCGTTCACCATGAAAGGAATAGACGATACCGAATGCACTATGAGAATTTTTGCTCTTGAGATGTTCACATTGCACAGCTTAGAGTTGATCAATAAATTTAATGTGCTTTGTAAACGTTTAGTTCCTTTAAAACTTCCGTAATAAAATTGTGGCCTCAACTTATTACAGCAGTAATATTTATTTGTTGCTTAGATGGGTGGACGAGCTCACAGCCCACCTGGTGTTAAGTGGTCACTGGAGCTCATAGACATCTACAACGTAAATGCGCCATCCACCTTGAGATCTAAGTTCTAAGGTCTCAGTATAGTTACAACGGCTGCCCCACCCTTCAAGCCGAAACGCATGACTGCTTCACGGCAGAAATAGGCAGGGCGGTGGTACCTACCCGTGCGGACTCACAAGAGGGCCTACCACCAATAAGGGCAAATCAGTGATAAACGAATTGAGGTTGTATGTTATAATTAATTTTATTCTCACTACGAAGATGACGTAGTGTTTTGATTGTAAAGATCACGTCCTACTCTGTGTTAAATAGTAACCAGGGTCTACAGACATCACTGCATATGATATATGAGCAACTGTCGTATGATGCGCTTTAAATATGAATAAATATAAAATTTTCAAGAAGAATAATAATATGCCCTATCATCAGCAATCCAGAGTTACATTTTGCTTATTTTTCGTGCCTAGAAATTATATGCGATTACGTATATTTTGCACCAACTCAAAGAAATATTTACAGATTTTTTTTTCTTAGATGGGTGAACAAGGATGCAGCCCACCTGGTCTTAAGCGGTACCGGACTCCATAGACAATAACAACGTAAATGGCGCCACCCACATGAGTCTTAAGTTTTTTATAATGCAACGGCTGCCCCTCCGTTCAAAGCAAAATGGATTGCTTCGCGGCAGAAATTGCCAGAGTGGTGGTACCTACCCGTACGGGCTCACAAGGCATCCCACCAACAACAGTTACGCAAATTGCAATTTTTTCAGGTTTGATTTTTAATACAAGATGATATTCCGTCACCGTGGAAGTCATTCGTGTATAATTGTAAAATATAAATTTTATCGGTACTTGCCTCCAGAATTTGAGCACCGGCACTGTCGCATCGAGTTAACCGAGCGTCTTATCCTTTAGTTAGGAGACGAAGAGCGACAACTGGTCGTCATCCTCGTCGAACCCATCGCTTGCGACGAAGGGCTCGACGATCGAATTAACCCATAGATACAGCCCACTGAGTTTCTCGCCGGATCTTCTCAGTGGGTCGCGTTTCCGAGCCGGTGGTAGATTCTGCGAAGCACTGCTCTTGCTAGGGTCAGTGTTAGCAACACTCCGATTTGAGTCCCGTAAGCTCACCTACTAGTTAAGGTTACGCTGAAATAGCCTCTCAAGGCTATCAGCCTAGGAAGAAAATAAAAGAGCGACAACTACGACTGTGATTTCATCTAAACTTTTAAATATATATTCTAAGAAAAAAAAAAACTAATTAAATGAAAGTAAACTAATAATTTATGTTTTAAAACTTCAACAGGTCGGAGACGTTGCCCAGGCGATTCGCTGGCCAGGTCTTTCGTCTTTATCATATTTGTTGGGATCCTGCAGAAGTACAGAATAGACTGTGTCAATGGAGTATTGCCGTCTAACGAAGCTGACATAGGCTTGCTTGCGGCTCCAAAACCTTTTGTCGCTAATTTCGTATCAAGAGAGTAAATCGCCCAAAAATCTATCTTATGATTATGACCTGGTGGGCGTTAGGTTAATGTCTGTATGTGTTTGGTTTTAAATTACTATTAAGGTTTTTATATGTAGTTTGTAGTTTCAAAAGTGTAACTAGTAAGCATTTATTAGGTATATTATAGTTATTAAATTAAGTTACGAACAAACTGTGTATTTTCTCTTCTCACGGTTTGAAGTCACGTGAAGCGTGAAATAGTTTATTTGTTAAAACTTACCTCATTTAAGGGAGATATAGATTGTTCAATTCCTTACCGCAAGCGTACATTGAGTTTTCTTGCATTGTATGGTTTCTAAGAAGTCATTGTAGGGGCATGAAATGCAGGTCCATTGAGGGTCATTGAGACTCTGTCTTGTCTGTGGGCTAAAACAAGAAGAAGAAGAAAAATTAAAATTCAACTACTAGATCTACGACGTGTTGTGATCTGGCTCGGATTGGTGCCACCTCTCTGCCGCAAAGCAATGATTCTGGGTGGAAGGACAGGATAGACGCAGTACAATAAAATTTAGCCTACAAACTCATGTCTTAAGGTGTATGATCGCATAGCATTGTAATATCTATGAGCTCTTAAGCTGTCCTACTTTAAATTGGGTGATCCACTTCAACAACGGTCATCGTGAGTGTACTCATATTTCGCAATATGATAACCTAGCAACTGAAGAAATATTTTTAATCTGGTCCGCGCCCAGTCAAGTCAACTATAAATGCGTTTTATAATTATTATAAGGTCTTATAAGGTAGTTCAAATGGAAAACAATACTTATTTGAGTTACTCGTTTAAGAGTCAGTGAAATTGTCCGTCAAAAGTTTATTGTACTGTTTTAAATTCCATGTTTAAGGAGTATTGAATAATTTAAAATAAATTGTACTTTTACGCCTGTAATTGAGAATTTTCTGTAATATTTACTCTATCAAATAAAAACTGTTTCAATTCTTTCCTCGTTTTGACATTAATGAGTGTTAAAAACTTCAGGAATACGTATGTATTGCATAATGTATTGACAGACTATTACATCAGTAAATAACATGCTTTCAAAATATTAATGAAAACTTATCATCAATTTCGATGTAATTTTCCCTAGTGTAATGTTAATTTGCGAACTCGATATGGATACAATATTTTAATTATATTTTTTCGATTTAAGACTATGGAGCGACACTTTTAAGTCTTACATTTTTATTTAAAGTTTAATTATAAAAAACTAAAACAAAATGCCGCTTCCAAGCACTGTTTTGGATTTCACTTCAAGCGTGTCCATTTTTTCGGATAAAAGAGTAAGTTATTTTCTTTTTATTATTATTATTTAATAACGATTCTAAGATTATAGAAATTCAATCCTATTAAACAGTAAACTAGTCGGACACGCTCGGCCCCTTTACTGTCCCCTTTTCTGATACTAGTAATTTGCTTATTATTATTATTAAGTGATTTTATGACCTGGTAGCTAAGATCTTTTTTAAGTCATTAATTATAATTTATAATCTTATTTTTATGAAAAATGATAAAAATGAAATGAAATGAGCTGAGATGATATGGAATGAAATATAATCTCAGTAAAATGGTGGTAATTTATTGAGATTTTGTCAGTGGACTTTTTGGAGGAGCCTGAGAAGTTACGTCCAGCGGCTTTTCCCAGCGGCGTTTCATTTTCCCACATTTGTGCACTTTCACACATATTAAACAGTTAATAAACCACAGTTATTACACATTTAAACCTTAAGAGACACTAAATAGACAAAGTAAAACAAATCACGCAACTTCATTCCTCGCGTTCCCGCCAAAAAGTCATTTGCTATTAAAATCTGATTCTGATCAACAATTCTGACAATTTCATGGATTTCAATAATTTTATGCGTGGACCAGGAATTGAGTTTCTAAAATAAAAAATAGCCTTGGTTATAACGTTATCTAGCTGGCAGTTAAATTCCCGTCGAAATAGCTCCAGATTTTTTGGAAGTTGCCGGAACAAGCAGTAGGTATAGAAATTATGTTTTAGTGGAACCGTGTAAACTTTAATTTTATTAAGTATTTGGTAAAAAAAAGTACTGGTTTCTGACATTTCATAGTGCTGATATATATAACTACATATATAATATAATAACTATACTGAGACCTTAGAACTTATATCTCAAGGTGGGTGGCGCATTTACGGTGTGGACGAAAAAAAGGGTGACTAGTACAAAATACTACAAATAAGAACCTTTGTTATGATTGTAATAAAATTTTAATACGAAAACTGTTACTGTACTTGTAGTGAAATTTTTATTTACTCCGTAAAATTATAATGATCATATAATACATTATTATTTTAATAATAATAATGCCCCCCTAAGTCCTACATTACGCCCGAGTCGACCATCAGAACACGTGAGGGGCGGGCAACGTATGCTATATAAACTTATACGGCTAACAAGGCAAAGGCAAACCCAGTAAAATGGAGAATCATTTGAATAAAGAGCGTATAGGGCCGCTCCCCGAGGGCGATCGCCGGGGCACGTCTGTAGCTGGTGGCGGACGTGGCAGAATGCTAGCCAGCGACTCACGGCGTACCGGCTGGTCGGAAGTCGGGGACAGGGAGGTTTGGGGTAGGTCTACAGATGCTACAGCCGAAGAACTTAACGATGTTGCTTTGCGGGGTAGGGATATGTCTCCCACATGCTCTGCCGGCACATCGTCATCGACCACAGGTTCTATTAACGATGACGCAAGAAGGAAGTGGTCACGAACCGAACTTGAAGAACTTATATTTTGTTTCTATCTAGCAGGAGAGCCTGGCTATATAAAACGACTAAAAAATACCTTTTAAGACCGAAATTAACATATCATAAAGTTTAGAAAGTTCACAGGAAATACACTATCCAATCAGGCACGATACAATGACATAGAGAAATTAGATGCGAACATCAACACACACATCATGCAGAAACAAGCTGCCATACACACAGTCACCATCATCACGAAAGTCTTGGGAGATACGGTCTTCGTAGGAGGGGAAACTGAGCCACCTTTTCCCTGAGGGTCTCGGAGCGGGAGCTTAGCAAGTCGAGCCAAGAGCTCGAGTAGAGGAACAAATAATATAAAATTAATATATTCTTATTTTAATTTTATTATTATTTAGATTCCTCCAAATCATTCCATAATTCAACCCTGTTGTATTATGCTTGCTTTTTTGTCTCTATTTTAATTATGAAAATAGTCAGTTTCCTTGACAGTTATATTATCATAAACCATTCGGCTACAAGTATCACAGGATCTACTTAACAATGGTAACAACTCATACTGGAAATTATATGGGGTCGATCTGTTTTCCATTATGCTTTCGAAGGTGTTTATATATGTAATGTACAGAAGGTACAGAAAGACTAACATTTGTCACACTATTACGTGCCGCAAACCAGAAAAAGGCTTATTAGCAGCTATTTCACAGAGGATGAATTTCACCGGAGGATTTGTATTGTAACTAAACTTGGCTCTCCACTGATCGTTTTGTTGGTACAGGGCAATCGTTTCTATTAGCTTTCACTCTTTTCTATTAACTTCTTTTTTTGTTACAAGAAAAGTAAACCGTATTTTGCGTAATATAAAAAAAAGTTAATTTATTACACTACTTCAACAGATCTTTCGAAATGTTAATTAATCCCTTTAATTAAAAACTGTTTTATTATTTTAGGATTACGCATTCGACAACCGCCTCCGATGGAACAGTATAAAGACATTTATTTACTTAGCTTGCACATATTCAGGTTCGACATACAATTTCGATTTATTCTCCAAAATTTGCGAAAAAGGTATTTATATAAGTTATGTATGTCATCATTCCAGTAGACAAGTAGATATTATACTGTCGCTAGGTACATTAATTAATTGATACATTGAACTCTGAGACCGAATGGCTGTCGCTTCGAATTACTATCAATTGTCAATTAACGGGGTCAGCCGTATGTAAGCGGTGTGAATTGTGATTCCAGTAATTGGGCGAAACACGTTTAATTATTATAGTATACTAATAACTACGAACAGTAATTGTTCCTGGAATATAATATGTATCAATCATGATTTGATTTTATTTAATTAAATCAAATATAACCGCATTCATTATTGTCATTATTAGATTAGTGATATCATTTATTTGTTTATGGTCATCGATTGTTTGTAACAAATGAGTAACAGAACAAGTAACACAATAGAAATAATACGTGCTTCCCTTAATCGATCGTGTGTTCGTTTCCTACCCTAATTCGATTTACATTCGGTAAAAACCCATATCAATGTCGAGAGCATAGAATTTTCAATGCTGATCAATGTTGCGTGAATAGGTGACATTGATAATATATATTTCACATTATAATACAAAACCGATATTATAAATATCAAACGTTTGACGTAGGTACCGAATGTTGGCCTTTATTCGTTTCGTAGAACCTCTTTCAATAATATAGACAAAGTTACCGAGCATCTTGAAAAATATTATTGAATATGTAACGGATTATTTATTGTAAAGTTCGTCCTTGTATTGGACTGAGAGGCGTTCATGTGTTGAGTTGCACTATTTTTATTGAAGCTATTATTCGAAGGTCAATGTTAGAGGTATCGAAGCGTGGAGCATGATACACTGCGTACTTGATTCAGTGATGCATACATGGTCGGTCGTGGGTGTTGTCCTAGCGCTATTTATGAATCAGTACGCCATGAAGCATGCACTTTTTTTACTCTCATAATAGAGGTTATTTAATTGACAAGATTAACTGTGATGGTGTTAAATGATCAAAAGTTTGCCGAGAATCGATATTACACACGAGTTTTTTGACGACAGTTGAATGACTTTTATTAATTTACGGGTTCTAAAGTCGTTTTTACACTTCATCCTATAAGTCTGCTGGGACAAAGTGTATTTTATTGTTTGTTGGACGATCCATCGTGTCACCTCGTGTCAACATTGATCAAAGCGCACTTCGATTATGGCGCTCAAACAAAGTGGTATCGACCGCGTTCAGCTTTACATAGACAGCCATTACGGGATTGAATGATGTTGTGAGATTTAAAATATGTATCGAAACATATCTCAAATTAACCCTTAAAACGCAAAAATATATCATTTTAAGGTTAAGTTTCTTTTTATTATTTTTATTGCCTAGGTGTGTGGACGAGCTCACAGCCCACCTGGTGTTAAGTGGTTACTGGAACCCATAGACATCTACAATGTAAATGCGCCACACACCTTGATAAGTCGAGAAGGAGAGAGATTGATGACTCGTCTTTGAAACGCAATCTCTTTAATTTATTAAAAACTATTATATTTTAATCAAGGATGATAATTTAAATGAAACATTTTGTATTTTTTATTTTAGTTTTGAGTTTCAACTCTTGTTATTTGAAACCTCAGTCAGGTTTCATGTATCTAACATTTTTATTGTATCTCTTGAATGCAGTGAGAATATATGAATTCGTTTTGTGCGAAGTGACGATAGGCATGCCTTATTTGTTCATGGATAGTTTTATTAAGCAATACACGAAAAAAAATGATTGCAACAAACACTTGAATCCGCTTCTACGGGGGATAAGCTTCGGTTTGTTCCTACAAACTGCACTATGGACATTATTAGTAAGTATTATGAAGATTTTTTAGTAAGAAGCCAAGCTCGAAGAGTTTAGCCATACGTTCCCGGTCTATTAGACAAGACAGCCGATGTATTCGGAATGAGTCGTGAGCGTGCTTCGATAGATAGATTAAAACATTGAGGCAAGTACCGTTTTTAAATTCAAAGCATACCTAACAATTTCCGCGAAAGCCTTTCAATTCAAAGGAAGATTTTAAAAAATTTTGACAATCTCCATAGGCATGATTGCTTTCCACCAACAAAAGCCGAGATAGTGGTACCAATCCATGAATAGCACGATTAAATATCAGTTCTCAATATAGGAATTAGCAAGACACGGACATAGAAAAAAATGTTACAAATGTTTTTTTTATTTTATTGCTTAGATGGATGGACGAGCTCACAGCCCACTTGGTGTTAAGTGGTTACTGGAACCCATAGACATCTACAACGTAAATGCGCCATCCACCTCGAGATATAAGTTCTAAGATCTCAGTATAGTTACAACGGCTACCCCACCCTTCGAACCGAAACGCATTACTGCTTCACGGCGGAAATAGGCGGGGTGGAGGTACCTACCCGTGCGGACTTCCAAGAGGTCCTACCACCAGTGATAATGTTGGGTTATAGGTCACTAGTTGTATTAACGCTTCGGAAATGGGATCGCATATTTAATCCAGCTAAAGGTGAGCACCAACCAGAGACTATTACCTATTGCCTTAGCTGTTATGTCCTTCAAGCCCGAATACACAATTAATTTATGGAAAAAATATTGGACGTTACATCTGAATTGACAACGTAATTTTGAAGTTAAGAACGTTTTACTAAAACAACGGTATCGAATGCCAGAACGCGGCGTACTTAGCGGACTCAATGCGCTACCTAATCTACAGCTTACAAGAATACCCGTTGTGGACGAGATGCCAAAAAGCGGAACATTGTATTCCGGTCCAAGACGTTATATCGAGATGCCGCGAGAACAATGTCACCAAGTTTTCCGTTACATCAGCTCATCTCAACTACATGTAAGTATATGATATCTCAAGGTGGATGACGCATTTACGTCGTAGATGGGGCTAAGGGCTCCTACAACCACTTAACACTAGGTGTGCTGTGAGCTCGTCCATACATCTAAGCAATAAAAAATACACTCAGTTGAGCTCTAAAAAAATTTTTTTTTTTTTTTTTTAATAAATAATTATTTACTAACAATCACGCCACGTTAACTGGTCCCGTGATAAGTTCGTAAAGAACTTGTGTTACAGGTACCAGATAACGGATATAAATGTAAGATTTTTATTATACACATACATATATTTAATATACATCCATAACCCTGGAAAAGACATTTATATTTATCATACACATATCTTCCCTTGGCGGGATTCGAACCCGCGACCCCCTTGTGTAGTGACCATGTCACTTACCACTACACCAGACGGCCGTTAAAATAGACGTGTGATGAAATTATTTTGTTATACTTTTTTTGCAATCCACTCTAAAAATAGAACGTAGGGTTATAAGCACACGTAGAATTAAATTAGTTAAAAAAAGAGAGAAATCTAACATTAATATGTTCAGGTGTTAAGGTTTTTCCGCTATTCTACTAGCCCTTGAAAGAAACTAACCTAGAATTACTTTGAACATAATATTACGCCACGAAGCCAAGATCTTGCAAACAATCTCATCCGTCTTTGCTCTATGCATTTATTTATGTGACCGTGAAAAGATTTCAAAGCGTTTCCATCAAGTTCAAAGTTTAAATATTTACATGGTAATAACAGTGAAAGGTCAAAGGTATCGCGATGAATATTTCTTGTGAATATAATTTCGTTGGTGTTTTTAGCATAATATTTTATTTGCCAGTGAGTGTTCTAGGATTCATTTAATAGTTAGCTGCGAATTGAAAGGTTTTTTAAATTTTTTTATTGCTTATAAGGATGGACGAGCTCACAGCCTACCTGGTGTTAAGTGGTTACTGGAGCCCATAGACATCTGCAACGTAAATGCGCCACCCACCTCGAGATATAAGTTCTAAGGTCTCAGTATAGTTACAACGGCTACCCCACCCTTCGAACCGAAACGCATTACTGCTTCACGGCGGAAATAGGCGGGGTAGTGCTACCTACCCGTGCGGACTCCCAAGAGGTCCTACCACCAGTGATTACGCAAATTATAATTTTGCGGGTTTGGTTTTTATTACACGATGTTATTCCTTCACCGTGGAAGTCAATCTTGAACATTTGTTGAGTACGTATTTCATTAGAAAAATTGGTACCCGCCTGCGGGATTCGAACACCGGTGCATCGCTACATACGAATGCACCGGACGTCTTATCCTTTAGGCCACGACGACTTCATATTAAGGTTGTTAAGTAGATCGTCGAAAAATTAATACGAATAATTTGTTACAGGGAGACATTTTCACAAGTTGACAGACACGTGTTGACTACGAAATTGTTCATAATGGCATTAGTCTGGATATTCAATTTCTTTTTCTCTACCATTCAAACCGATTTATTGATTAAGGTTTGAACAAATTTGTTTCTAATCGTACATTATGATGTTTAAGCGACAATTTAAAAAAAAAAAACACGCCTTTTGTTTACAGTTGTTTCGTTTGACAGCTATGTTTAGATTATTTTCAACACTTATAACTGTTTTGTTTATCGTGATGACAACGAAGTCATACGCTGCGACAGCTTTTGTACAAATATTGGATATAAAGGCACCTCACTCGTACGTAAGTTTTTTTTCCTTTTTTTATTGCTTACATTATATATGTATATAAATGAATTGCTGTTCGTTAATCTTGTTAAAACTCGAGAACGGCTGGACCGATTTGGCTAATTTTGGTCTTGAATTATTTGTGGAAGTCCAGAGAAGGTTTAAAAGGTAAATAAATATGAAAATGCTCGGAATTAAACAAAAATAACAATTTTGTTTTTCCTTTGATTCGTCCCCCGTCGGACAGATTCCTTTTGTTTGTTTTAAGTTTATTTTATACCTACAAAAGTTTAGGTTTTTTTATTAAAATTTATCGATTGAGGCACTACGAAGTCTGCCGAGTCAGCCAGTAATTAATATAATCTACCAAAAACAAAATCTAGCATAAGAAAGAAAAAAATGCGCCGCTGTGACTCTTAGTGTTTGTTATATACAAATTTTATTGGTTTTAACAATGCCTAAAGGCTCGACAATGAATCAACATAAGGTAACATCATGACAAGAACGTGGAAAGAACACAGTAGCGTATTTTTTTCTCTTTCCACATTTATTCATTAATTATCGAACACATGAGAAGTTTTATTTATTTTTAAGCATCACACTGAAATTATAGCATAAGAGTATCTGATGCAATCTATATTTGTTCTATTTTTAATACGCTTTTATTAGCTTCAGACGTATGTATGTTTGTAACGGAATATTTATTGAACATGATTTTGACCTCCTTCAGAACGTCGGATTAACTCTAAATTGGATATTGTTTGAATTCGGAACGTCAAAGGTGTCAACGAGCGACGTCCGCTATGACGCCTTAAGCGTCTTATTCACGTTCCATCTTGTTGTACGTTCCGCCAAGGCCATGCACGATGCACGATGCAAAAGGATCATGAATAGGCTTGACGTACGTCGATAATTATTATTAATTGTTTGCTGGATTTGCACGACCAATTTTTCATCCAGCGAGCGCCCCCACCACCGCGTACGTCGTGCAGATAGACAGTGAATAACGCTGACGTACGTCACAGCGGTCCTGCGTCGTGCGTGCTTGATCGTGTATAGACTTGCTGTACAGCAGATTTAACATTTAGAGCTTGTTTCGAGAGGAGACTGCACGTCAAAATGGATCGTGAAACACTTTCAAGATTTATTGAAAGATATAAGTTCCACATGTTTGTGGAATGTCTCAAGCTCAGACTATATGAATAAACCAAAAATAATAAACGTATTACAATTTTTAAGGCCCATTTTAGGGGAAGCTGCAAGGATTGAAAGCGTGCGTAAAAAATTATATTAATTATTTGAGTATACTCTGCACGTTTAAAAAAATCATCCAAAACCTCTTGCTATTTTTTGCCTCTCTTCTGCTGCTGCTGACAACATCAGAAGGACTCCCATTTTTGGCGTTTTGATAAAACAGCTGGCATTTTAAATAAATTAAAAACCTCATTTAATTCGTTCGATTTATTCTGTTCGCGCTTAATACATCCAGCACCGCGGCCTTGAGCTGACGTACAGCCGTGATGGATCGTGAATAAAGCGCTAAATGCATCGTGCATCGTGCATGGCCTTGGCGGGACGTACAGCAAGATGGAACGTGAATAAGGCGCTTTACCCTTTTCCATTTCCAGCCGTCAAGGGCGACACATCTGTTTCTTATTTCTTATAGTCCTTAATTTTAAATTCTTTATTTTGTCACTTATAGATAAATAATACAGTAAAAATATCAAACTAATAATACAGTCCACTCTTATTCACAACGCAACAGATATACTTATTATGGACCGATGACAATTCAATATTAGAAAAAATATTGAAATAATTGAAATTCAACTAAAAAATGAAAAATAAATAAAAGTTTAAAAAAAACTAACAAAATACGCTTTTATAGAAAATCCAACTAAAAAAAATAGAAAATAAAAATACATTAGAATTAAAAATAGTGTAAGAAACTATTATCAATATTGTCGTCCATAATTATTATAAAATATTTTTTGTGTATCTCAGGAACGTGGACAAGATAGGACTATCATAACAATTACATTATTATTTTAGCAACGTTTCGGTCTTTTATTAGACCTACATCAGGCATCTGAAAATTACACATAATTGATAACCTATAGTGCAGTGTAAGATAGGGATTATTTAAATTCATATTATGGTAAATATGGTAGTTTCGACAATTGTTGTTTTTTGTATTGTAGGTTATCAATTATGTGTAATTTTCAGATGCCTGATGAAGGTCTAATAAAAGACCGAAACGTTGCTAAAATAATAATGTAATTGTTATGATAGTCCTATCTTGTCCACATTCCTGAGATACACAAAAAATATTATATAGTGTAAGAAAATTTGATTTTATTGTAAAAAAAGCGTGGAGTGCATGGTATCAGTAGTTATAGATATTTTATGACCAGATATGAGTAGAAGGGTTATTTTGATAATATCCTGAAAACCAACCCACGCTTTTTTTCAAATAAAATATTTTTTCTTACACTATTTTTAATTCAAATTTATTTATTTGAATTTTCTATAAAAGCGTATTTTTTTAGTTTTCTTAAACTACTATTTATTATTGGCAGTAGTGGGAGTTGAGCATAAGACGCGCCTGATGCTAAGGGGTTATAGCCGCTCGTGGACAACGGCAATACCAGAGGCTAGGCCGCTATCTACATACTTACCTATTTTGTTATTCATTTTAATTTTTGACCTTACAATCAATGGCTACATAAAAATGGAAGTTTATTAAAATATAAACGAGCATATTGTTATATTCAACAAAGATTCTATATAATTATGTAAATTAGCTTGTTCATGACGTAAATATAGAAAATACCTTTATAACAGAAAGCTATATTATATCAGGTAAAACTAGCTAATTATTGTTTAGAAGCTCGTGTTGTGCAGAGAAACATTATTAAGTTTGTAATAACATGAAACTAAATGAGAAATTCTTAGCATCAACAACCAGTTTCCAAGGTTGCCTGCTTGTTTTTCAATAATCTCTCTCTTATACAAGTAATATTATATTATAATTTGCTTTCTCTAGAATATTCCATCGCATGTATTTTGATAGACTTAACGCCCTTAAAATTTACAAGGTTGTCTGGATAACGTATGTGGACTTTAGTTCTTGTTCTTGTGTGGAAATCTCCAAGGTATCCAGTAGGGCTTCCCGTTAAGCGGAATAATTTCAAATCGAGTGGTACAATTTCAAAGAAATTAATTTACAAGGACTATGAAGCCATCAAAATGTTGTTCGTTTGTCCACTTCAAAGGCATAATATGATCATTTATCCAACTTTAACAATTATTACAATTGATTAATTTCTGTTGTATTAGATCTAAGTGACCATTTTAAGATGAAAGATTGAGTGATGCAGCGGTGTTCGAATCCCAGGCGGGTACCAATTTTTCTAATATATGAAATACGTACTCAACAAATGTTCACGGTTGACTTCCACGCTGAAGGAATAACATAGTGTAATAAAAATCAAACCCGCAAAATTATAATTTGCGTAATTACTGGTGGTAGGATCTCTTGTGAGTCCGTGCGGGTAGGTATCACCACCCTGTCTATTTCTGTCGTGAAGCAGTAATCCGTTTCGGTTTGAAGGGCGGGGCAGCCGTTGTAACTATACTGAGACCTTTGAATTGATATCTCAAGGTGGGTGGCGCATTTACGTCGTAGATGTCTATGGGCTCCAGTAACCACTTAACACCAGTTGGGCTGTGAGCTCGCCCACCCATCTAAGCAATAAAAAAAATGTTGATATTAATAAAATGGTTTAAGCATTGCAAGTCAATATAAAACCGAAACTAACTAGATATCGACCGTCTTCTAGCTTTAATGTTAGATTCAATTTAATTTATTTTTTCTTTTCTTTTGTCTATATCTCTGCTTTTAGCCTCTAGGACCAATTCTGGATTCGCTATGACTGGTAGTCGAACTCACAGTACCGAGCCTGAAAAAACTTGCTCACTCAGAAGAACAGAGAGAACAGTGTTTCGATAAATCTCGCACGGGATTAGAATCGCGACCCACTGAGAAGATCCGGCATGAACTCAGTGGGTTGTGTTCATGAGTTAAGTTGCATGTCGAATTCTTCGTCGTATTCGACAAGTTCGACGGAAACGATGACCTCTGTTTGGAATGCCTAAAATCACCGAGAGTTAATAGAGACTTTCCGAGAGAGAATTTCCTAGTCAAACATGCAACATTTTTTAGTTTTTACAATCCTTATTTTGTAAAAATTCTATCATCTACTTTGTATTTACATTGGTACATTGTAGTCAAATTAATCCAAATATATCTTAAGCATATCTTTTGGAATCACATAAACTTATACCGGAAAATAACCATATAAATTGAATGGTTTATTTCTGATTTACAAATTCACATAATCATGATGGATACGTATAAGCGAAATGGTTGTATGTTTACATCGGAAATCCATTGAAAATTTACCGATACACTGCGTAATTAATGTTGAACGTTGCATTTTCGTTGGCTCGCTGTCAACATTCTACGGAGGTTAGTTTACAGGCATCACTAATGGATACCTCGTCACACTAATCTCGTAACATGCATCCTGTACATAATTGGATATGTGACGGAGCATTCCAGTTTATCGAAAATTTCCATGTTTCACAGGCTACATCAGTTTTCGCTTTGAAATTAATTCGTTTCGCTGTTACGGATTTAATGATTACTAAATTCTGGTTTTAGAACTTCTTAATACAAAAAAATACGATATACCCTAAGGTATAGGTGAGGTTGCTCAGGCAAAGCTGATTTTGATATACCTTAATATTATTCCCGACTGATAAAAGCACGCTGCAGAGCTATTCAGGCGTAAATCTTTCATCTTGCGAAGTAATTAAGTGGACTTATCTGAACCAACCTCTTGGAGTTGAAACTCGGTATTTCTAGCACATTTAACATAGCGTCTCCTTCATTTTATATGTATGGTGTATGCTGGCGATGATTAAATAATTGCTCACTTGCGAATTCTAATATTAGAATTGTTCGATTAGGTAAATCATAATTTGAATTATTTTGTTGTTCTATGACTTTTTTTATTGGAAATCAAATCTAAGCATAGCAATTTTACCGAGAAATATAATAGCATTGGCCTCACGTGTATAGCAGCAAAAATCACATTTGTGGACTGCAATTGTATGGTGCGGTCACCACTATCACAACAACTCTATTGAAAACATAAACAGATAAGATACTGATTATGCATCGTCGTCGCTTATTGAAAAGCCACCTTGTCGTCTTAGTTTAGTATAATTTTAAAGATGTATGATAAGTCGGATCGTCGACTATGCGTTAGTGGGATTCAGATGTGTTTTACGAGTGCACGTTTATATTGTGTCAAATATCCACAGTAATGAAGTCGTCGTGGCCTAAAGGATAAGACGTCTGGTGCGATCGAATCGTGTTGAGCGATGCACCTGTGTTCGAATCTCAGGCGGGTACCAATTTTTTCTAATGACATACGTACTCAACAAACGTTCACGATTGACTTCCACGGTGAAGGATTAACATCGTGTAATAAAAATCAAACCCGCAAAATTATAATTTGTGTAATTACCGGTGGTAGGACCTCTTGTGAGTCCGCGCGGGTAGGTACCACCCCCTTACTTATTTCTGTCGTGAAGCAGTAATGCGTTTCGGTTTGAAGGGCGGGGCAGCCGTCGTAACTATAATTGAGACCTTAGACCTCATATCTTAAGGTAGGTGGTGCATTTACGTTGTAGATATCTACGGGTTCCAGTAACCACTTAGCATCAGGTGGGCTGTGAGCTCGTCCACCCATATAAGCAATAAAAAAAATCTTAATGATGTATAAGTCGGACCGTCGACTATGTGTTATTGGGATTCAGATTAAACACAGTGTGTTTTATGAGTGGACGTTTAAAATGTGTCAAAATAAGTATCCGCTGTCAAATATCCATAGTTAGCAAGCGTTTCTATAAGTGTACGACTATTCGTACACTTCTTGCAGACCATCCGACGAGAGGTTGCAATTTTTTTTTTTTTTATTGCTTAGATGGGTGGACGAGCTCACAGCCCACCTAGTGTTAAGTGGTTACTGAAGCCCATAGACATCTACAGCGTAAATGCACCACCCATCTCGAAATATAAGTTCTAAGGTCTCAGTATAGTTACAACGGCTACCCCACCCTTCGAACCGAAACGCATTACTGCTTCACGGCGGAAATAGGCGGGGTGGTGGTACCTACCCGTGCGGACTCCCAAGAGGTCATTCCACTAGTGATAAAAGAAAAAAATGAACTCATAAAGTGAACTGGGTGATTGAATCGCTGAGTGACTACGTGACTGATTTTATTTCACGCTTATAAATATTAACGAATTTTTCTACTTGCATATTGCAAGTGAACCTCATACTTTTACATGTCATGCTTAGGTAATGTTCTCATCTTGCAACGTATAAGATTGTGATTAAATTTTACATGCCTCGTACCACCGGTATATGAACTTTATGATTTGACTGGAGCGGATGATGTGTTATGTATTACCTTTGGACTGGTGAGATAAAATTGAATCACAGACTCCATTTTGTATTTATTACTAGTCACTTGTCGAGCCATATGATTTTCGTTGAGCGAAGATCATGATAGTTAGCAATAATGATTTTCTTACCCTCATTACTATATGATCAATTAATTTAATTAAGTTCGATCTATCGAAATGTCATTACTGCTTATATAATAAATTAATAACCGTGGTTTTTTTTTATTGCTCTTATAGGCAGGCGAGCATATGGTCCACCTGATGGTGAGTGGTTACCGTCGCCCATGGACTTCAACAATGCCAGGGGCAGAACCAAGCCGCTGCCTACCGTTAAGCACTCTCCACGAGCCTCGTTTGAAGAAGGATATGTCATAGCGCTCGGGAAACACCGCGGAGGGGAGCTCATTCCAAAGCCGGGTGGTACTTGGCAAAAAATATTTCAGGAAACGCACTGTGGATGAACGCAGTGGTTCTATACGTACAAAAATATGGCAATATACGTACAAAAATAAAAATCTATCGTGCACTAACATATCGGTACCAAGTAAAGCAGAAAAACGTATTTTGAGTATAGTTTGTTGAGCCGTTTATAGACCGTCTATATCTAACCCTCGGGGGATTCATACAACGGCCACTATATATAAAACTATACAGTTATATTATGTAGTTAGTACTAAAACGACTTTTATAGTTTAAAATTCAATTTTCTCGTTTTTCCTATTAAGAAATGTAGTTGCTTTGAATACTTAACAGATTTCGTGATCGAGAACGTAGCTCAGCTGTAATGGATACAGTAAAAGTAGTCTTAATGGTATTTCCGACTTGGGAAAAAAAACATAAAAAAATAACGAAGAAAATTTAATTGACAAATTGAAAAAGAACATTAGCAGTATTTAGACATTCTTTAAATCTGTTTTTATTGTATTTTCTTTTTGTGTACAATAAGTATAAAATTGGTATAGTACAGTCTCGAATGGTGAATTTCTTCGGACACGTTTTGCGACGAGATGGCCGGTCCATAGAACGCCTCGTTGTACAGAGAAGCGTTGATGGTAAAAGACCGCGCGGGAGGCCACCAATACGGTGGACCGACCGAATTAAAACTGCAGTGGGAGGTCCCCTAAATGAGTGCAGTAGAATGGCCTCGAGCAGGGAGAGATGGCGCAACATCGTGTGACGCATCAAGTCTGCCCCTTCGAACACTACATGACGATCACGACCACTCTGTCAAGAGTGACACGACTGAGAAGAAGAAGAAGAAGTATAAATAAAAATAACATTTAATTTAAATGGCTATGAATGTGCGGCAAAATAAAACAAACACTAATTATGTGACTGTTGTTTCAGACATTATCTATAGATCACATTTCATACACGTTTGGAATTGGATTTTTGGGACTGTATGACTACGGGTCCGTGTCGCCTTATACGATGGTCGATAATGCTGTAGTCGCTTTTACGGTAGCATTCACGACATCCGCTTTAGTTCGAGCGTGGATCGTGAGAATATTGTATTTGGCCTTGAAAAGTTGCGTAGAAGTGGAAGATTCTGTGAACCCGCATTATCTTGTATTCGCTATTTTACCTATGAGCACTGAATTTCTTCACACGCACAAATTGTATACGTTCTACATATATTTTAACATCATGTTCGCTTCGATGGCGTACCTCGTAAGTGAAAACAATATGCACGTTTAAATAAAACCACCTACTAACAAAATAGACGGGGTAGTGCTAAACAATGACTTAACAGCTCAAGCCAGTTTCTACATGAGTAGGTACAGTCTACTTTTAAAATTAAATGATTTTGAATCGCAAATTATCGATGTGAAACATCTATAGCCGCATGTAAAGCCGATTTCTGGCGTGGTGACGCATGCCGTGGCGACGCGTCGCCATGCGCAATCGACTGTGCGATTCTCTCCCACTCGATCCGGCGTTAAGCCATCTCTCTCGCTACACTGAGCTCGGATATCTATAGTGTATATTTTATTTTATCATTATGATATATTTAGTTTCTATCACAATCTGTTCTTTTCTGCATATTACTTTTACAAAATAATGTCGATGTTTCACATCTGCCAGGCGTCCCGTGACGGATCACATTTTTTAATAATAATACGCTATATTCGATAATAATATACAGTAATAAGCTACATGTTTATTATAATTATGAAAACTTTTGCTTGTATCTACCGCGAAAAAGTCATGTGTTCCGTTTTGGAGGACCGGATAGTTGTTATATCGTATATTTGAAATTTCGAATTTGTGTCTCAGGAGTCGTGAATTCAATGTGAATTTATATAGGCTGTACAACTTAACATTTTCTGAACCATGAGCTCACTGATACAATTACAACAATGAATCGTCTAATTTATTTGAAAGAAATAACCGTAACGTTGCTTATTTGTTGGGTGTTTTTAACAAATTTGATGAGGCAGTAAAATTCGAGTTATACATAGATATGAGTTCGAAAATTTGCTACGTCAGTTTTATTAATTCCATGTCATTTCTTTCAGACGATGTTGACGACAACCATGTCTAAGCTATTACAGAGCGAATTCAGATCCGTTAAAAACATTTACATTATTGGGATTCTTTGTTTTCTTGGATTCAGTTTGTCCCTTCCAATAATAGTGGTTAGTGCAAACCTCTGCGGAGTTTAACATATTGAAATTATTCTTATTCAAACAATATATTTGTATGTAATGTTATAAATATTGTAAATATTTAATTATTTTATTTCGAATTGAAATAATTGTAAATAACTTTTGCTCAAAGTCATGATAAATTTAAGCTTTTAATACAGGTAAGATTTATTTTAAAACAACAAACTTGTAACATAATACTACTAACTTAAAGTATCTTTTAACACGAGATGAGCTCGAATAAAATTCTTCTTTTTCTCCACCTTATCCCACTGGGTGGGGTCGGCACAGCTAATATTTCTCTTCCATTCTCTTCTATCAGCCGTCATCTCAACACTCACTCTTCTCTCTCTCTCATATCGTCATTCACACACTCCATCCATGTCTTCTTCGGTCGACCTCTTCCCCCTCTAGCTTGCACTACCATTTCCATACATCTCCTAGTCACATGCATCTTCTCTCTACGCATCACATGTCCATACCACGCTAACCGTCCGCTCCTTAATTTGTTGCTTACCGGGGCCACTTACACACTTCCTCTGATATACTCATTCTTTATCTTTATCTCGAGCTCGAATAAAATTAATTGTTTAAATTCGATATCTTAGATTTGTTTTTTTTTTTTTGATTTGTTTATATGTAGAATGTTAAATGTAAATCGAACGGCGTGAGGTCATAAATATTTTTCGTTAGTTTCTGTCCCAATGGAATTTTGTATAGTAAAATATATTTTTAAAGTACCTACATATACATATAAAGTAGCTCCGAAGAATTCGCGTAATTAGAAACGTTAAGTCGTATAACGTATACTCTAGTATTCGTATTCGCAAAAAGTTGCCTGCTCCATAAATTAGGTACTGTTTGTGAAGCTAAATCGTCAATTTTAAAAGGTAAAATAAAAATAGAATCCACAAAAAAAAAAAAAAAACGTGGCACCACAGAATGTTTAAAAAAGTCATTCCCTTTAAGCAACTCGACTGGCATAAAACATTCAGTGGTCGTACAAAAAATTCATTGTCCCAGTTGCTTCAGTTCGAATATCGTATACAGAACTGCCTTGACAAGGTTTCTTCGTGTACACAAAAACTTACTTTGCCTCCGTTTTTGGAATATAAATAAAAGAATAGTGTCGTATTTTAGGCCCTTAAATTCTTTTTTTTAGGTTTGCTTATTATCTGGCAATAAGCAGGAAACATCACACAAAATACCTTGACTTGACTTATTAAAAGATGACAAAATAGGAAATCTTATACCTTAATCTGAATTTCGGAAACGGCTCCAACGATTTTCATAAAATTTAGTATACAGGGGATTTCGGGGGCGATAAATCGATCTAGCAACGATTTATTTTTAGAAAATGTTGTTTTATTCGTGTTTTGCAATAATCAACTTTATCGATAATCAACTTTATGACTCTTCCCGACATCTATTGGCGAATAATAATACTATTTTTACTGCTTTAAAGATATAAAAAGATGGCGTTATAAAAAAAAAAAAAACATCACCTAGTGAATATTTAACTTACATAATTCCATTACGATTTGCATTTCAATATCATAATTTATACTATGTACATTTAAAACATCACCAGTCAGTAAAACAAAAGATTTTACTCTTACTATACTTGAGTAAAGTGATTTAAATGAATTTAATCACATATTTAGCAAGATTTATTAAAAGTCGGTCTTGCCAGTCGAGAATTTGTATAGTGACAAAATATGCTCTTATGAAGTAAGTAGCGTTGCTTTTTAGTTGTGTTTGTGTGAGATGAGCATTCTTGGTTATATTACATGATGTTGCCAAGAGGCTGGACGATTTTCTCATGAACTGCACTAATATTTTGACATCTTATACATATAAAATGTATATTACTCCCAAAATGGCGCAACTGCCATCACCGTTTAATAATTGTAAAAAGCAAGCGCACGATAGGGTGAAGTGGAGACAACTTGTGAGGGCCCTATGTACCAGCGGGGTACCCTAGGACTACAACAATAACAACAACAATAACAACAACAAAAACCATCATTGAAGCTTTTTAATGTCCACATTTAATCCAACGGAAAAATTTAGAAGCTTCTGTAGAGCTTTGAGCGTGAAATCGGTTAATCTTCTGACTAAAATGCTGCTCAATAGTAGTATTAGTCTAGTCTATTACTCGGTATTATTTGTATGTCATCGGTTACATAATAACTAATGCATGTCATCCAAGCTCTTGAATTCCTAAGACTTCTTTTAAAATACACGTACGGAGTGATTTTGTTCCATAGCTGCTTTTTGTAATGTAATTCTGTCTATCCGTTTTAATATCACAAGTGTTTAATAAGGATTGAAAATGGGAAATATTCACATCTCACAGTACATATTCATATCAGAATGACTAGTTCTGAATTCAAATGTCATATTATTATTGTTTTTTTATAGTGTGTGACGGTATTATGCTCAGATTATGTATAGTGGAATATGGTGATTTAATTTTTTTAACATTTTATATCAAGTGCCTTGTAAAGAGGAAAATAACATCTAAAGATGGCCTTTACTGCACAAAATTAATTTTAAGTTTACAGTTTTGTACAAAAAGCTTGTTTTTCGTTTCAGTCCGTGAAAACAGCGGGTCCAATAAAAGGTCTGTTATCTGGATTGAGAGCTACCGTTCTATATCTGGGTGGCTTCAGAGTGGCCGTAGTCATGTGGGTGTACGGGGTACAGAGATTTTCGACCGATATACATTTCTGGCTCGGCTTCAAGCCAACTAAGTTTTGGACAATGTGCTGGACGTTGTTGCCTATAGTGTTATTGGTAAGCGGGGATCGGATGATATTTGAAATGTTCTTACGTAACGTATTAGTTAGGGAATGTCCTTCAATGCGATTTTGCGGCTTTTGTTGCAGATTTAAAAAAAAAAAATCGCCTAAATCAATTCACTTTATTAACGCACGCGTCTAGTTTATCGTTAAAATGGTTTTGCTGACTTTAAAAGATATACTTTTTTTTTAACGATTATTTTTATGATATTTTTAAATTTAAGTGTTAATAAGCTAATACGTTTCAGATGTTTTTGATACAAAAAATCTATCTTTTAACTCAAGTGACAGATTTCAGTCACAACGTATCGGCGGTTTTGTGGATTGTAATATCGCTGACGACCGTGGGGTTTTTTCAGATCAAGACACTAGCGAGATATCTCGTTCGGAATGTAAGTTCACGTTTTTTTTTTTACACCTAATACAAGTGTAAGTTGGTTCCAATTTTGTGTTATTTTTTTAATGAAGTGAAAAAGAAAAGACGCTAATCTTCATAATTTAATTTGTATATTTTTATTAACTATGTCTATTATCAATTATCAATTACTAAACACCTTTTGAGCTTTAGTTTAATAAGGAATACAAAGGTAATAATTTAAATTTACCTGTCGCCTGTGTTTAATACCGAAAGAAGTTACTTGAGCTGTTGTTGATGGGAATAAAAAAAATAACTTTAGTCACAAAGTTGTCTCAAAAGTCGAATCATTAATTGGTGAATAAAATATAAGGCGCTTTAAATTGCTGAAATCGTATTTATGTGAGGTTGCCTAGATCACTTGACAAGTTCCAAAAAGTCAGAGAGCACTTTGGAGCAGATTGGAGCATTCCAACATACTCTCTCTCTTCGATCGGTTCCTCACTGCTGAGGATCGTGACTCCGTCCGATTTCGTCAACCAACTGTCTCCATCGATCCCGCCCTGCAGCCCAACATACACAGCCTTTTAAAATAAAAGCCGAAATATATAGCTGAGAAAAAAAATCAATAATACTAATATAATACAAATTGGATTTTAAAATAATGCGGAAAAAAGAAAGTGATTTTAGATATCTCAAATCAATACCATATTTAATTATTTTCGATTGATTTAATAACATATTTTGAAAATCGTTGACAACGCCTCGATTTTAATTAACTTTTCAGTAATTTTGTGTCCAAGTATATAAAATATAGTATAGTGTATTATATATATTTGCCTTCCCTGGAAATAGTCTATATATTTAAATCAAAATTATTTACCTAACTACCTGAAGATATGATTTATTGAATAACTGTTTGTGTTCTACCAAGTTTATTACTTTTGAACTAGATATCAATTAGTAGACTTCTATACTCGCTCCTTCACTAAATACGCGCGTATAAATAAATTTTAAAAGGAATATAGAAAAGAAAAAAAACTTTGTTACCGTACAATTTTTTACATTCAGAACATCTATTCTAATCTTAGCACTGCCAGTTTATTTGCAATAATTTTAAAATTATTCATTAACATTTAAAAACGTCAACTCTGATAACGTTAATATTGATAATTAACTAAACATTTACAGACCCCATTTGAGTCAAACAAAGTTGTCGCTTTCAGAATTTGGCAGCAGTTTTCAATTCCAATAAAAGATACGGACCGCCTGATGCGGAAGATCGTAGAAAAAGGGAAAACTACGACGAAACAATAAGTCATCGACAGTGTAAACACAACTGTAATATCTTGGACGTGAGTGTTTGTTTTAGCCCATATTAATCTGGAGAAAAGAGTCACAATACACCGACGACAAACTGTAAAATACTTTCTGATGTGATTTCATGAATTATAGCAAAATTATTCAAACTCAAATAGCTCCCCTTATCTATACTTCTATACTAATATTATAAAGAGGAAAGATTTGTTTGTTTGTTTGTATTGAATAGGCTCCGAAACTACTGAACCGATTTGAAAAATTGTTTTATTGTTTGGAAGTTACACTATTCCAGAGTGACATAGGCTATAATCTTTTTCGAAAAAAATTTGGGGTCCTTACTAAAACTACAATAATTTAACTAACCCTAGGTGTAAAAAATACCTAAAATATTCTTTACGTCGCGTGCCCTGCGAAAACTATTGATGGTAGAATAAAATAATGTGCTACGACTTTGTAGAACACATTATTATTTACAAAAAGTGTCCCGACAGCATATGTTTAACTATTATAGTTGCGCCGCAACAAGTGTTCTTTTATTAAAAAAAACAACGTCAAATATCGTTGAAATTTTTGTTAAAGACCCGAGCGGAGCCGGAGCGGGCCGCTAGTAATAATAATATACCGAATTAAGCTTTAGTCGAGAACTTTAACTGCCGACCGCAAGGAATGTATTGAAGTCTCCGACTCAAATATTTGTATCCGTCGCGATGGCTACAATCTGGACCATCGATTGATAAATGGCCCCAATAGAATTCGCAACAAATAAAATGAATAATAAAAGCAGTCTGAGAATTGCAAGTATACAAGTCCAATAAATTTCACCGGTGAAATTCCTTTCATCGACTCGGAATCACATGTCAAGGCCAAAAATCAAAGATGCACGACTCGCTGCGTATCACTCTATAAAAAAATCTAAATGGTTTCTTGTTTGTAGGACGTCATCGATTGTGATCATATGCCAATTATGGTGAAGACAAAGTCCACTACATCATTGTCAAGCTTAGATAGGTCTATGACAAATATTTATGAAGCCGATCCTTTGAATACATTAACGACTTCTAGTGGTTGGTTCAAAGCAGAGTCAGACAACTGAAGCTTATTTATAGATTTTTTTATTTTAACTTTTATATGCATTTGTGATAAGTTGAACTGTTGACAAGGAAGCATTTTTGGAAAGTAGAATTCATAAATGAAATTAAAACAACACAAAAATACAAATCTCAAAAATACATATCTGTGATTTATTCGTGTAGAAATATAGATTTTCAGAGATCGCAGACATTCAAATTTTTAAAACCAATTCGATATATACATCAAGTGTGGCTATAATATAGCAGCAAAGAGGAAACGATTCTAAGCACGCTTGCCACTCCGAGAGATAAACTAATGGTACCATACACTAACAAGATTCGCGGAACGTTGAGAGCACGGTTGCAAACTCCAAGAACATCAGGCCATCCCGCAACTTCCTCGATAATTATTTTAAGGGAAACTTGCAGTCGGGCGTATGCCGAGCTTAAAAGCTGTGTTTTGTTTATGCTGCGGCACTTCAGTCTATCGGTAATTTAGTTTTAATAATGTTACGTCTGCGGCTGAGTGTGTTGTCATTTATCATTTTAGAAAACGTGCTAGAGGATAATGTTTGAATTATTAGTATTGTGTATGTTTTTCATTTGTATGCTTTTGTGTGCTTTCAATAATACCAATATATTTTTAAAAGTTTAAATTGATTAGTTATTATTTAGATTATACGATTTCAAGATCTTTGAGATTTGCTTCTAAAATCATTTTAAGTTTAACGCGACTTCTTTTCTCTACAGTGTGTTATATGAAATATTGTCAGGCATTGCAATTTCACATTATAAGATTCAGTGTTCGCGGAAAGCGATTCCAATATCATTCCATTTTACCGTTCAATTTTATTTGTCTTCAATATCGCGAATTGTACGGTTCAAAATGTTTGACTTTCGGAGCGATGTCTTTACAATCAATGTCGTTTCCTATCCTTTCAACAAACATCTTTCTAGTGCGTTAAAACTTTATTTCGTTTATTTTTGTTGTATTCTTTCCGAAATGAAAGTAGCGCAATACTTTTCGCTTACATTTTATTAGCAAAATAAGGTCTCGCTCACGGCTCGCCTTCTGGTAAGCGAATATCGGAGATATACATGCGAGCTATGAATGCGACCGCTCACTTTTACCCACGACACTGAATTCCCAATAGTGTTCCTCAACAACTTTCTCACTGTTAAGAACGGAAAGTGTTTTTGTTTTGCGGTTGGGGAAGGTCATCCTTTAACCAGCCGTGTGAGCACATAGTATATATACGGTAGACACAATACGCTCAACCACTAAATGCTGGTTAGGGATCCCAGTGTCTTGATACAAGTATAATACCCGGAGAATGTTGCCTATTCTCTAGTAAGCCCCATGTTCGCCTTTACGACACCTACGGGAAGAGATGAATGGTGCTATTATAGACCCACACCACACACTAAAAGTTTTAAAGCTTATTTATACAGTGGAAAGAGAACTCATTTTGGACTAGCCCATACTATGCCCTTTGAATCATATTGAATCACAATAGGACCCGCATTTGATCACAAGGAGCACTAATTGTATGGATGAGCGTAATTATGAAATTCGACCCTGGAAGGTCTAGAATATCTGAATACTTTGCTGATTTTTGTCGACAAGTTACCTGTGACTATTTATAAACTGAGAAACCCAATTTAGATGTATCAGTGAATGTTCTAAATTTTTAAACATGTTTACTTAAGCAGCTTTGATTTATTATTCTATTTCTTATTCATTTAAATAAATGATGCTTTAAGTAGGTACACGACTTTCTCTTTTATATAGGTATATACTAAAAAAAGATTTTGACTTTAAGCAAAATGTTTTAAATAAATGTATGTTTACGTTTGAATAGGTATCTTTTGTTCTAAATTTTAGAAAGCTGATTTTAGTGTATAGTTTTTGGTATTATTTTAAAATCAGAGTTTCGAAATTATATCGTTCTAGACTACGTTGCAGAGCTCTAGCTACATGCAATACAATGAATATCTTAGTTTCCTCGCTTGTCCAGTATAATACATTATGCATATACATATACATAGGTTTGGTTTGTTTCGGTTTAATAATCAAGTTGCTCGGGGACTGAAATCCTATTCAGCATACATGGAATTGATTGTGTGCCTCACAAGTCTATCGATATGTACATACGTGAAAACATGGTAACGCAATATTGACTAATGATGGAACTACTAAGTGAAATAGAAGATTGAAGATTAAAAATATACATGCGTGGAAAATGCGTCTATTGAAAATATAGCTCATGGCACATCTGCTGCTAAATGGTTACCGCAGTCTATTGACTTGATTACGTGAATGCCGTTCCCACGTTGAGACATGAGGTCTAAGTATCAATAGTGTAGTATCAAATAACAACTGTAACATTATTAAGAAGCGTGAAATTTATACATTTATAATTAATGTTGGTAAAATATGTAAATATTTTTAACAAAGTTCATCGAACTTCTGACACTGCCAAAACTTGGGGGTACCGCACCAGCTTGTTTGAGACGATGTGCGTGCTTATCGGGACGACTTCCTGAGACTTCGGATTACACATAGCGATTCGATCTCCGCTCCAGGGGGAACCGCGTCCCAACGAGCAGAGAGGCTCCAATATCGGAGGACCGTGCTCGAGTCGTGGTCTTACCGACTGACAAACCCCGCCTACGGGCGACGCAGGTGCTCACGGGACACGACTGCAATGGCTGCAAGGATACGCGGAGCTCATGCTCGTGTACAACTATGCTTTCGCGGAGCAGCGCGGCGTAGCAGTGGAACGGGAGAGGCAGAACTCTTCTTCTCTCTCAGTGCCGTGTCACCCCACGCAGCCGGTAATCGGAGAAGCGAATTCGTCCAGCTCTGGCCCCTGTAAGAAGGCAACCTCCTCCCGGTGATGGTCACGGAACGACCTGAGGCGATGGAGGCTGCACCGCACACTACCGTCATTCTGCCGCGCTGGCAGCAGGAGGATAGGACGAAGCGTTGGCAGCTGCGGCCCCCGTTGCCGTCGTCGAGGTCGTGAAGAGTAACCCGGTTGGCGGTGTATCGCGTTCTGACCAGGCAGGCTGGTTCTGACCCAGCAGGGTATCCTGGAATATAAGTGGAATCACCCGGGCGGCCTGACCGGATGCGGTACCATGGAGACTGATAGCGTTGGTCGTCGTCGATTGCCTCGACGACCGTCAGTCGGGCGTCTTCGGGTAGGCGCCGCGGGTCTGGTTGTAATGTTAGTCGAGGGAACCCCCCTACTGTAGCCGGGTCCTGACCCCGGGTCGAGATTGGACGTTGGGTTAGAGAGTGTAAGATTAGTCTCTTAGGGTAGTTAGACTCTGGGCCTGCGGTCTGCTCCGCGAGCGACTTTATATGCCCATTGATGTCAAAAAAATACATTTATGCAATTTTTATTTTTAATACGCTTTTATTAGCTTCAGACGTATGTATGTTAGTATGTAACGGAATCTTTGAACATGATTTTGACCTCCTTCAAAACATCGGATTAACTCGAAAGTTGGCATACTTATCAAGGACCGATAAAAAATATTGAAAAGATTGAAATTCAGTAAAAAAATGAAAAATAAATAATAATATTAATAAAATATAGAAAATCTAATTAAATGGAAAATAAATTTTACATAAATTTGAATTAAAAATAGTGTAATAAAAATGATTTTATTGTAAAAAAGCGTGGGACTCTTTTCAGGATATTATCAAAATAACCCTTCTACTCATATCTGTTTCATAAAATATTAAAATTTATAACTACTGATACCACGCACCCCACGCTTTTTTACAATAAAATCATTTTTTCTTACACTATTTTTAATTCAAATTAATTAAAAATTATTTTAAATTTTTTAGTTGGATTTTCTATTAACGCTTATTTTTTTAGTTCTTTTAAATTATTATTTCTAATTTTATTGCTTCATGATCAATGATCAGCCGTGATTTATATTAACTGCTACAACAAACCGACACCTGTGGACGGTAATTAATCGTGAATATTTGTACCTCGCGGCGTACACAGATTATGCTATAGGTGATGATACTTTGAATGCATCCATACGCAAGCGTGCAGCTTTGAATACGTTGCGCGCGCGTGATCCCATTATATTTCGAGCGCCTTACTACTGAGCCACGAATGTGTTTATGTAAATCATTTCATGTAGTCACGTCACTAGGCATATCTGTTCAAATATTTTTGTTGCGTGCGCGTCTTTTCTACCAGCACCAAATATAAAGAAGCAGTGTTTGTATTACGAATTCCCGGCTGAAATAAAGGGAGCCGGCTGATTCTTCGTTAGATCGACATAGTTAATCTCCAAGCTAGTCCAACTTGAATTAGTTTAATTTTAATAAGGATGTTAAGTAAATTCACCAAATTTAAATGTAATAATACAAGTAGCTGTATTTCACCCGATCGCGTATCACTATCAAAGTCGTCGTGGTCTAAAGGATGTATTCGTATCTAGCGATGCGCCGATGTTCGAATTCCGCATGCAGGTACCAATCTTTCTAATGAAATAAGTACTTAACAAATGTTCACGATTGACTTCCACTGTGAAGGAATAACATCGTGTAATAAATAATCAAACCACCTCGTCCACCAATATAGGCAATAAAAAAAACTTCATTGAGGCGATTACTAGCGTAATACGTAATATATTCTTAAAAATAATATACGGTGGGCTGTGGTCTTGGATGTAAATCTTTGTTGTTATTAAAGAAAAAATCTTAAAGATAATATAATATTACCGCATATTATTATGTATGTATGTACCTATGTGTCTCTATTTTTTCGGGAACAATGTAAAAATATTTTATTGGATAACAACAAAGTCTTACTTACGTAAATAAATACCGGGCCAAAGAGTATTCTTCCGCGACCGTATATCTGGTTACGTTAATGCTTAGGTTCCACTAAGACAATTGTAATAGCGCACGTGCCGTACAATGGAGACACAACAACGCCATTACGGCATCCTCCTGCCCGGTAATTGTATTTGAGGGTGCATCCAG